ATATATATATATACCTTTTATCACATCACAATTCACATCCAAACTCTTTTATATCTCTTTCTCTTCAGTCACGGGTCACGATGTCTGAAACTTTGTTTCTGTAGTAATCTAAAACCTAGAAAGAAGTTTGTTTCTAATTACGTGTAATTTCACTTCATATTGAAGAAAGTGACGAGACTTTTATTTTTCTTAAAACCATCACTATCAAATCTCGCCTTAACTTCTTTGGTCTTTGCTATTATCCTCCTTATTGTTTTGTGCTCTCTTCTTTTTTTTTTTTTTTTGAGAAAAGGGTTGTGCTCTTTTTTTTTTTTTTTTTGCTTTTATATAAACCTAAGTTTACATGAAACTACATAAATAGTGCAATTGTTGAAAAGTTGCAAACAAAGAAGTATAGTGTTGCATTCTTGACTCCTAATGCTCGGCTTTGATAGCTTTGGAGTGAGATCCAGAGTTTAAGAGAATTCACAGCCTTTCATATAAATACATGATTTTCAATGTAATGTTACAAACTTACAATTTACAAAAACAATATGTTTTTCTTTGCGAGTTATAACAAGACTATGAAAACAAAAAACAGATCTATACGGAGAGTGAAATGATCATAAAGAGCTTACTGAACCCAATTGATATCAAGATCTTTAAGGTTGTACAACCATTTCTCTGTATCTTGAGAGACGTAAGGTTGATTCTTCTTACTAATAAGGGTCGAATTTAAATGATCGGTATCAATAGATTCAGTCCTCTGTATTTTGTTACCATTGTCTTTACGCGAATTTTGCTGTCTGTTGGGATGTCTCACGTTCAATGCCAAAAGTCGAGACACTTCGTGTAATCCTCCCCATTTCTCGAGCGCACGCGCTATGTCATAACGACCTGAAGCAGCAGATGAAATGTTTCTCGGACCATTCTTGTTTCGAGTAACACACAAAGCTTAAATTGAGTTTATCGTTTGAACCTGCGCGTTCGAACGATTTTCTGCTCGGCATATATGATGGATCCATTCCCCAACTCTGTTGAAATTTTCCTATCTGCAAACACATGCAGATGGAGAAGCTCTTGTAAACACCATCGCAACAATTTGGTTTAACCGAACCGTAATAAAACAAGAAACCTAACTGAACACGTAGACAAAACCAAACCGAATAAAACATGTGGATGTGGAGAAACTTTACCTCTTCTTGCAAGTTTTCGAGATTGTCCCAATATCCTTTCGGTTTTCGGTGTTTATAAGCAAGTGAAAGATTCATCATCAAAGCTATTCTCCTAAATCCACCCATTCTTGTAATGGCTTTCTCAATGTCAACTCTTCCGTGTGACCGAAGCTGCTTTCTCATGGGCATGAATCCTTCTTGTCCATGTTCTGATATGAACTTGAGAATCTCTGATTTCAACACTTCAATGTCTCTTTGCAGACCAGGAATCCGTGCTCTCTGCTTAGTTTGATCCGTACAGTCATCATTGTTGTAAACTTTCTCCACTGATGTGGCACGAGATGAAGGACATGTTTCTTCTGAAACTTGACATGTCTCCACTTTACATGACTCTGAAGATTTTTCTCCTCCATTCTCAATGTAATCTCGGATTGCGCATAAATTTGACGGAAGATCTTCATAAATAACCTGAAAATATCCAGAGAGAAACATTGTTGCACAATAGAAGATAACATGCGAGACTGAATATATATGATTGTGAACCAAACCTCTTCCATAATTGCTTCAGAAAGAAATGTATCTTTTCGCATTCTGGACTCCACGGTATATTTGAGAAGTGTGTGGTGGCTGCCTAGTTGTTCAAAAATCCATTTACCCTCAAGCGAGTCAAAGTCACCTTCAACCTGCTCGAATCTGATTTCCTGCTCACGACTCTCATGCAAATCGAGAACAGCTCTCGCATGAAGCACCATGTAAAGCAGCCCTTTGCATCCTTCCTGCGAACAGAATTCGGTGTAATCATAAGATTTCTTGAAATCAGTATGGAAACATTGTCCTGGCCAGTGTCAGAACTTTAATCTTCAAGACCGGACTAAATGCAGGGCCTTTCTGAATCATCATAGAGCAAATATGAGTTCATATATGGTGTAGCCTCAAATCCACAACTATTTTTTAGTGATCTATCCAACTCTATCTATTCAGGTCTCGTATGTTTTCCAATGTTAGTCCCCATACAAGAACCTGTAAAATGAATTCTACCTGTAAAATGAATTCTACTCATACCTGAAGTATTCGGACTTTATTGTTTTCGCGTGACAAAATTTTGCTGATTGCCAAATTTGGAACTATCCTGATAGATTCATAAATGACAAAAGGCAGATGCAAAAAAGATGTATAAGCACCAAACAAAATTTGATAAAGACTAATGCAGAAGTAAAGTTGAAAAGAGCTCCTCAAAGGTAGAAAAAGTGATGCCTAGATTATCTGTTGATAAAATCAACCTCCCGTTCTTACTCTGGAAGACTCTCATAAGCAGTTAAAACTTTCCAAACTTCACAAACTGGAGCTTTAACTGTTATACTAGCAATCGCACAACGGTGGACACCTCCATTTTCCTTCATCCAAATAAAACCACTCACCAGTAACTAACTACAAGAGATAAGAAAACTGTTCTTTTTAAAGTAGCTAGTTTTGGAACGAACTACATACCAACAGTCCATCAAATCTACGAAGATGAACTTCGTCCACGGTGCAAGGTTTATCAAGCTTGCAGGCTTTTCCATACACGCCCCAGTTGTTGTTCAATTCATTTGAATGAGATAATGATCGAACACTGGAGGCAAAAGATTTCTCAAAATCCGGACTTGCAATTTCAACGCGAGAAGGGGTCGGTGGTACAGATGCTCTACCAAACAAATTATCTATTATTGACGGCTTTCCGCAACCTTTATAATGTTTCTCAGCTTGGCGAGCTACGGCTCGGAGATTTACAGGAAGATCTGATCTGATGATCCTCTCTAAGAAAATGGCAGGGAAGTTAAACCTTGGGATTACGTTTAGTTCGTATGACAAGACAGCTCCTAAGGACCTGAAGAAAGATAAATATAAAACGTTTGAAACACAGATGGTTCTCTGATACGCATTCATATAGAATTTACAGATCTCATTACAAAAAATAATAACTGATGTTATAATCCTATGTATGTGCACAAAAACTTCTTTCGGGGGTTAATGAGTGTACCTGATACCAGATTTCACAGACCACTTTCCCTCAAACTTTTTGAAATCACCATCTACCATAGAGAAGTGAAGCTCACGGCCATTTGGCTAAAAAGATCATAAAATGAAAAACAGCATGAAACAACATCAATAGACATGTATGGATTGAGAAACAAGGAAATATATAACTCATTGTAAAGATTGACTAATCCTAAGCAATATACCCAATGCAAGGACTGCAAAGAAGGCTAAAAGAGGATCAGATGAACGTAGAACCATGAACTTCTGAATATTTAGGAAGGAAACCTCACAATAAGTCTTTTTTGGCTTGAACTCACAAGGAACAGGGCCAGCAGGCAATTCTTATTTAATCACGATTACAGATCAAACAGTATAAAGGCAACCTCTAAATGCTTAACAAACGATGGAAAACGCATTTAAACAAGATCACATAATATGGTAAAGTGTGCAGATTTTTAGAATCAGTCCCAATCATATGGTAGGAGAAAAGTAAAAAGTTTAGACTGCTCACAGAATCTGGACACTCATGGAGATCAAGGACAACACGAGCCTCAATATGCCAATACAACGCTCTTTGAAGGCCTCGTTGCTCCAACCATATACGTCCTGGGTGTGGGCAAGGGATTCTTCCACTATAAGTTGAAACAATCAACATCAAAAAGAACATGTTAGCATCAATCATTAAGATTCATTCTCGTGGAAGAATTACTAAACCGTTCTAGAAACCATTTTTATGGCATGAACGAACATTTCCACAGAAATTTTCACATAAGCGCAGCCAGACTACAAAACTGGATCTCTATGAAGCAGAGACACTATTTGAGAATAATTTTGTGGATAAAAATGATAAGAATCTGGAGAGAAAGTACCTACAAACGAGATTGGGGATGAAATCAGCAAGGCGCTCGTAATCAGTGAGAACATTCCAGACGGATTGAGAATCGGAATCGACCCAGATTTCGCCTCTTATCCTCCGTTCTCTCCACGAGATCACATCCACCTCACAACGCACTTTTCTCTCTCCTCTCTCGTCGTCTTCGACGAAACCTAACCCACTCTCTCTCCTCAAACCGTTATCACCTCGACCGGCGCTATATCGCGTTCCGCGGCACTTGAATTCCCCAGCTCCGCCGATTGTGGCCGATACGGTGGTGGTGGTTGAAAGGGCCGAGAATGTTCGAATCTGCGACGGGTATAGGAGGGGCACACTTAGAACCACTGGTTCGTTGGAGAAATTGAAGAGTTTGATGGTGTGAACGCCATGGGAGAGATGTGGAAGCTTGCTCACTGACATGGATTTGTTAAGAGTGATTCGACGACGAAATGGGCCAGTGAGCAAATGGCAGTGTGGGCAGAGGGAAGCAAATCAACTGTTGCAGAGACCGTTAAATTTTCTTATCCACCGGTTTTTTTTTTTAATTTTTTAATTTTTAAATTGTTACAGATGTATGGCTGAGAAAATCACTGTCTTCTTCATCATAATAATAAAAGGTAACAAATATTATTTTCTTTAGAAGAAATAGATACCATACTGTCAAGACTTAATAAAACTGTTACGCAATTCAAAAGAGTAAATACTTTGTTATACTTTCTCTTATTCGTATGACTATTTCATTTTGTTTTTCATGTTATTATAAGGAACTTAACAAAAAGAGAAAAACGGAAAAAAACACAAGAACTCTAATCTGATCCAACTACTAGAAACAATGGTTATTAACCCAACTTTTAAAACCGAAATAACAAAAATACCCAACTTTAAAGATCTCCAAAGCCTAAAGGAAACCAGAAAAAGAAGATGCAACAATCCACTTATCACAAATCATTCTCTCACTCATCATCATCATCACTCGAGCCTTGAAGAGCAACTGGATTGTTTGGGACTTGTTGATGATGAGCACTTGCACTAGTGTTGTTGTTACCAAGAGCCACGTGAGAAGGTAGAACGCAAACCTTACACTCTCTATCAAACGAATCGTTCTGAAACGTGCAGCGATCGCAGAACCAGTAACCAGTCGTTGCATCCTCGCAAGCATCAACCTTAACATCAGACAGACCATCTTCAAGAGTCTTGACAAAGTCATGGAAGTAATTACCAGTTGCTGTTGTGGTGGTTCTCAATATGTGCTTGAAGAAAGCGATATCTCGACCTGAGGTGGCTAGATTCATCACCTCCTCCACAGTCTCTTTGTGCTTGAGAAGATTTGCGGTAGCTTGTTTCCGAAGGTGGTCCAGGTACTGCTTCTTCGCGCTATGGTAATCAGTTATGAAATAGTCAAACACACAGCTCCATTTCAAGACAAGTCTGCATTGAACAACTAGCGAAAATGCTTCTCTTAGAGCCCTAATGTCTTGCTCTCCTAAATCGCAGCTCTCGGTTAGTTTTGGGATGCTTTTTTGCTCCATGGCTTTTAGATCGCATTTAGATATCTCCATTTCTTCATCACTGTCCAACCAGAGATTCACGTGATGAGTAAGAGCGTAGTCATTCCTTGGTTGTGGAAGTGGAATAGAGACTTCAAAACAATGCCATCCTTCGATGTGCTCTTCCTCTAATCGCAAGCAATGCCAACAGAAGCTACAACTGTAAAGCAAACACATAATCAGTTTAACCATCTAAGCAGAGAAAGGACGACCCTTAAGCCAACAAAAACATTAAAAAAAGAAAAGAAGCAAACCTGCAGATACAAGTAACGAGTCTCACATCAGGGTCATCATTCGTGTGCACAACACCGTTGCAAGCAGGACAACGTTTGGTGTTTGCAGAGATCCAAGAAACGCTCTTTGATTGATCCAAGAGGTGAGTCCACCAAAGAGAAGCATTGTTGCAAGTCACGGGTCGGTGTGACTCGAGCTGGCAACTCCAGCAGAAGGTGTGACCACACAAACACACCACACCAAAATCAAGTTCTGATACATCCTCACCATGACGCTCTATTGCGTAATCGCAACCAGGCGCAGGACACCATTTGATCGTTTCATTGTTGCCATCCACGAAAGATCCCAGAACGTAGCTCTCGTACATCTCCTTCACTAGCACTGTGAGTTGTTCGATCGTATCGGGTCCAACGGACGCTACACAGTCTTGGTTGAGGCAAGAGATTATTAATTTCTCTTCCTCATCATCCTTCTTCTTCTTCTTCTTCTTCTTCTTCTCCAGAGACTCGCTGAGATAATCTCTCCAACAAGTTGTGCAGAACTTGTGTGAACAAAAGGGTGTGGAGACTAGATAATCTCCATGCGCACAAGAAGCGTTGGGTTCGTTTGGATTGGAATCGAAAACATTAACTAACCCTAATTCCGCCAGAAATTTCTCCTTGTCGTCTCCCAGAAGATCTGAAACCTTGAACGGGTTCCAACGGAGACAGATTAAAACTACGGTTGCATCGGATTGGGACAGCGAAAAGACTTCCGAGATCTGAACGATTTCTTTCATCATCTTCTCACGAACCTCTGTTCTCGTAAGAACAGAGTAGAGTCTCTGCCCATCGGCTTCCATGGCTGTAAGAATGAGATAAAATTCAAATCCTAAAATAGCGAGAGAAGATTTAGTCTAGTCTGTGGTGTTTTGTCAATCGATGGAGGAGATTTTAATTTATAAACTACTTACCAGTGGTCCTGTGGATCGAAGGGGAACGCAAGGGTTTATGGTAGCTTCGGGATCAAGCTAAACAAGATCAACGCGTGGGTATCAAGCTTAGCAAAAATCAACTCAGAGAGTCAGAGGAATGAGAGCGTAAAGAAAGATTGTCGATTAGGGTTTATAATCGTGGTAACTGATAAAAGATTATCTCTACTGTAAATTTATAATTTATTTATTAATTAACTTCTTCTAGATTTGTATTATTAATTTAAAGAAATTTTTATGAAATCCTAAAATTTTCTAAAATATCTTTTCATTTAAACATTTGACTAAACTAAGCGGATTTTCATATTTGCAGTTTTAATCCACTTCAATACAATCGTGCAGGACTAATTCTGAGGCTAGCTAACTGCTAGATTTTTTTTTCCCCGAATGGTTTCTGACGGAAGTCACCGTGAAATAGGGGATTTACAGGGAGAAAGGGAAGACGAGGAAAAAAAAAAAAACTGAGGCAAATGTAAAGGCAAACAAGCAATTGTTTTTCTTAGTCGAAAACCAACAAAACACTTACTTATATAATAATGATGGATGATGTTTCAACACCTTACAAACCCGAAAGGAAAATGGAAAGAGAATCAGAAAACAAATAAAGCAAAACAAGAAATTATTGAGAAGCTACATAAAACCAGAAAACAGACCAATCACTTATGACACATATCCCCTCTTACTCATCACTACTCTCACTCAAATTTCCATTGAATTGGTTTCACCTTGACGCGCAAATGGATTGTTTGGGACTAGTTGATGAGACACTTGCGGTGTTAATTGTTATCAAAAGCCACATTAGGATGAGGAGGAGGAATAGGAGAGTCAAGATGGACAAAGCACATCTTACACTGTCTATCAGACCAGCTGTTCTTAACCTTGCAGCGATTGCATAACCAGTAACTGACCGATGCATTCTCAGAAGAATCAACCTTAACTTCACGCAGAGCATCTTTAAGAAGATTCTTGACATATTCATGGAAGAAGTTACCGGTTGTCGTTGTGGAGGTGTCCAATTTGTGCTTGAAGAAAGTGAAATCTCCACTTGAGATGGCTAGATTCATCACCTTCTCTACAGTTTCTTTGTGCCTGAGCATAGTCATGGTTGCATCTCTCCGCAGGTGATCCACAAACGGCTTCTCAAGCCTTTGGTACTCGTGTATGAAATATTCGAAAACAGAGCTCCACTTGAGCACAAGTCTGCACTGCACCATCAGAAGCCAGGCTTCTTTCAAAGCCATGGTGTCTTCGTGGCTTACACACTCCATTAGCCTTGGAATGACGTTCTCCTCGATGGAATTGAGATCGGACTTGGATTTCTCCAAACCTTCATGACCTGACTCCCAGAGACTCAGGTAATGAGTGTACATCTCCGAAGAATCCGCATTCTTTGGTTTGACTTCAGCACACTTCCCTCTTCTCTTGTGCTCTGCCTCTGATTTAAAGCAGCGCCAACAGAAGCTATGACTGCTTGCGTGACAGTAATAACATAAATGAGTTAGATATGATTTCAATAGAGCGAGAAAGAAGAAGAAGAAGAAGAAGAAGAAGAAGAAGAAGAAGAAACAAACCTGCAGATACAAGTCATAAATCTCAAGTTAGAGTTAGCATCACGCTGCACGGGAGTGTTGCAACGAGGACAAGGTTTGGTGTTTTCTGCGATCCAAGCAACGTTCTTCAGCACATCCAAGGTGCGATTGCACCAAAGAGCAGCATTTTCGCACGTCACGGGTAGGTGTGGCTCGAGCTGGCAACTCCAACAATAGTTGTGACCACACAAACATATCACACCAAAGTCAAGGCAAGTCTCACCATCTTCGACCAATACATCCTCCTCATGACGCTCGATGGCGTAGTCACAGCCCGGCGCATGACACCATCTGATCGAGTCCTTGTTGCTCTCCATGAAAGATCCCAGGACGTAACTCTCGTACATCTCCTTCACCGGCTCTGTGAGTTTTCCGATCGTATCGGGTCCAACGGGCGCAGAACAGTCTGGGTTAGGGCAGAGGACTGCTACTGCTCCGTCTTCCTCGTTGTTGTTCTTCTTCTTCTCCAGAAGTTCATTGAGATAGTCTCTCCAACAAGTTATGCAAAACTTGTGTGAACAAAAGGGCGTTGAGACTAGATAATCTCCAACGCCATCAGAATTGGTCTTATGATCTGCAAAACAAGCAATTGATTCGTTTTCTTGACTCATATCAGAAACTCTAACCAGCCCTAATTCCGCCAGAAATCTCTCCTTGTCGTCACCCAAACGATCTGAAACCTTAAACGAGTTCCACCGGAGATGGGTTAGGATGACGATTGCATCGGATTTCGACAGCGAGAAGACTTCGGAGATCTGATCGATTTCTTTCATCATTTTCTCACCAACATCTTTTCTCGTGAGAACAGAGTAAAGTCTCTGACCATTGGTTGCCATGGCTTAAAATAAAAAAAGACAACAAAATGAAGATAATGCAACTTTAACAAAGTAAAGAAAGAAAAGGCTGTGAGAATTCCGTAAATGAATGGATACAATATTGTAGCTACTTACCACCGGATCGAAGAGGGAAGAGTAGGGTTTATAGTAGCTTGGGGTTCAAGCTTAAACAAAATCAACTCACAGGATGAAGATGATTGCCGTAAAACTTAGTTCAGAGAAAACACTGTTTGATGAGTAGTACAAGACTCTACCAAAACCGGATTATATACACATTTGAGAAAGCTATCTCATAAAACAACTAAAGTAATTTTTAGATTTTCTGTAATAATTATTAATTTTTTGGTTCAAAGAACCTACGAGAAATTATAAATTTTAGTTATAAAAATTTATTGTTAGATTAAATGCTTATGACGCGTGTCTCTAAACTCTATTAATAATAATATTAAAAGTTATAATTAGTTACGAAATTTAATGAAAATTTATTATTAGAAAAAATATATCGACACGTATCTCTAAACTCTATTAATACTAATTTTATAATTATAATTTCTATTTATAAAAATTTAATAGATATTTATTGTTAGAAAAAATATATCGACGCGTGTCTCTAAACTCTATTAATAATAATATTAAAAAATTATAATTTCTTTCTAAAATTTTAATAAAAATTTATTGTTAGATAAAATATATAGACACGTGTCTCTATTCTCTATTAATAATAATTTTGAAAATTATAATTTTTACATTATACAAATTTTAATTTTTTTTATTGTTAGATAAAATATATCGACGTATGTTTTCAATAGTTTTAAAATTATAATTGTAATTACAAAAATTGAGTAAAAATTTTTTTTTAGATAAAATATATTAACATGTGTCTCTAGACTCTATTAATAATAATATTGAAAATGATAATTTCTAGTTATGAAATTTCATTGAAAATCTATAAAATAAAACATTTTTCTCTGAACTCTATTAATAATACTGTTAAAAAAAAATAGAAGTTTCTGTTATGAAAATTTATTGTTAGATAATCATAATGCTAAAAATTTATAGAGCTAATAAACTCAAAAACAAAGTTAGAATGTCTAATTAGGTAGATGACATCATGACAATGACAAAACGTTTTGTTATTTACTGTGCTTAAGAGGAGGTAAATTACTTTAGGCAGCCTCTTGATTCTTATCTTCTATCGTATATTACGAAATCCAGTATGTATCATTCACGTGTGAATTTTCTCTATCATTCTTACATCTTTTTCTCACCATTAGAGACAAAGCACGTTTTGGATTGAAAAGTAGGGTTTATGGTAGCTTGGGAATCAAGCTTAAAAAATCAACTTACAGGATGAATCTGTCGTAAACCTAGGTTCAAAGGATTAACAAAACCTGATTATATCTCTATATTATTATTTGAGTAGACATTTTAAAAAATGAACTTAAATGTGTAAGTTATTACATGAAATGCCATTACAAATAACAAAAATAACTAAAATAGGAAATGATATAATTGTCTTTCAAATCTATTTAAAACAATATGGAAAGTTTTTGTTTCTCATATATTTGAGTATATTTACATTTCTAAATTTAAAAATATGACAATTTCTTATGTTATTTATTTCAAATGAATAATGTAAAAAGTCAATATTAAAATTATGATATTGAAAAATGGTGAAATATTTTATAAGTATAATTTGCTATGTTACTTGATTATAGACAAAAAATTATTTTTACCAAAAATTTGACACGAAATTTTTTTTTTTTGGAGTGTGAATATATATTAAAATTGTTTTTTAAGTTATATTCTAATAAAATACAAATAAGTTAAATAGACGGATTACTTCGATATGAAAAGATTATGATTCTAATTTTTTAATATCCAAAAACAAATCTTGCGATTCTAAATATTAATTTTTAAAATAGGTGGTATATATTCAATATACTAAATATTATAATTTATTTTTGTATTTTTATTTTTTATATATCAAACCTAAGTTTTACAAAAATTATACTATTTTAAAAAAGATAAATTTAATTTTTATAGTTTGCGAACAGACTACAAAACTTAGTTATTATTATTTAAAAATATGATAAAATTCATCAGTCAACAATAAATTAAATTTCTATTTGATGAATGTAAAATTTTTGCTTGATATAATTATAGACATATTTAAATATACAAAAAAAAGTTATGAACTAAAATTTAAAATTAATTATTAAAATATTATTTAAGATATTATAATCCCGCGTATATATTATGCGGTTAATTTCTAGTGTATATTTAAAAAAACACCTCATAGAACAAAATTAAAATAGTTATAATATGGTATGATAGCGAACTATTAAGGTAGTAAAACAATCAAAGTAGTTATAATATTATATACTCTTCCTCGAAGTCTCTATTTTCTCCAATGATTACTCTCATCAAGTGTCCAAAATGATACATTTGTCTTTGATACATCGTCTTGGATCAAGAAGTAGACAAAACCTTGGTAAGATTGCTCTGAAGTAAAGCAATTGACTCAACAGCAGATTTAGCAAACCAGCTGATTCCGACTTTGAACCGGTGTTCATCAGTTGGTAGTCTAATCAAATACGCCAATTTTCTTGCTGCGTGACCAACAGGACCTTCAAGTGTAAGCCCTTCAATGAAACTCGGCGAAATAGCAGCATCATATCTTCCAAGAGTCATCATCTCACCTAAATTCTGAAACCTGTAAAAAAAAGGAAGGTTACACAAGATCTTACAATTATGTTTTCATTACACAAACCAGTTGTTAAAAAGTCTACAAAGTCTTTTACCTGAATGGTAACAAAGGTCGGTTATTTATGGCAGCCCATATATTCCAACCAGTAAAGTCTGCTTCTTGAAAAGCAACCTGGAAAATTTGATATTCGTTATCAAGCTGATTAGACTCTAAGACAAGAATGTGATCAATTCTGTGGAGTTTTTATATTTCTTGTTTCTCACCTGAGCTGTTGTAGGAAGAAGCTTCCCATTTGATTCTCTTAGAGAAGACGAATCACCTAATGCAAAAATCCTTGGATGTCCTTTGACACGTAGTGTCTCGTCTGTTTCCGCTTGTCCTCTGACATTCAAAGGAAGGACATTGGGACCCGAAGGTTCAAGTTCGGTAAGCAAAGGCTTAGAACCGATCGTCCACAACACGATATCAGCTTCAATAATTTGACTCTCTAATCCTCTCTCTGCAGGCTGAAGCTCTAACAAAAATCCTCCATCTTCTTCTGATGATTCCGAATCGCCTGCTCTCTTTATGCATCGAACAAGATAACCCAAGAGTAACTGGACTTTTCTCGAATTAAGAACCTAACCATCCAAAAAAAGGAAATTATTATCAATAATTCATTACCATCTTTTACTCTTGTCTAATCAGATGGAGGATGCAATTTGCAATGATACTACCTTCATAGCCGCCTCTCTGTTACCATTAGAGGCCGATGGTAATATACTATTGGACACGTTAATGGCTTGCACTATTCCACGATCTTGCAGTCTCTCTGATATGGTTGCAGCTAACTCAACTCCTCCGTAACCGCACCCAACAACAGCTACTTTAATCGCAGAGCCGTCTTTGAAATTCTTCCTCTCCAATTTGCTTAGCTTTTCGTTCAACCTCTGAAATGACAGCCACGATTTAGTTGAAAAGAGTGTCCAATTCGGTTTGACCAAACCAAAACCACACCAAGAAAATAAACAGATATGTATTCATTTGTTCTATATCCCAAAAAGGAAATAAACAAACCAAAACCTCGATTTCTTTGGAAACTATAGATATATTTTCTGAAAACCGAAACTGAAACCATAACAATTTCTATATTTCATAAACCGAACACCCCTGTAACTCTTACAATAGCATCTTCAAGATTGTAAAATGGTAAAGCAAACTCCATTGCGCCGGGAACAACATCGAGCTTAGGTTCAGCGCCCAGAGCAAGAACCAGCCTGGCTGTAGAAAAGAAAGCTAATGAGCCTCTCAAACTTAACTACACAGTTTCGTCGTATGACGCAACATAAAGAGTCTATAAACAAAAAGAAAGCAGAGGAACGAGATAGTTTTCCATTTAAGGATTGTGTAAACATAGTACCAATCGTATTCAATGTTAAAACCGCTTTCGAGCAAAACGGTTCCTCCAGTAACTGAACTTTCGGACCCATTCACTCCAAAATGGTCACAAGGAAGCAATGTTTTGACTCTATCTCGGAGAAATTGGATTCCCGTATTTGTAAGCAAATCCGAGAAACGGGGAGCAATTTCCCACACATCAACTTCTGCAGATTAAAAAAAGTCAGACACAAAATCAACACTCAGCAAGACCAAAGATTGACCGAGCATGAAAAAATTAACTTTACCTCCAGAGAGAAGTTCATACAACATCGGCTTGAACACAAAACGTTCGGACTGGTCAACCAGAACCACCTGACCAATATCAGAACATTAAAATGTATTCAAGGCATATTGCAACAGATTGCTCTAACTAAAAGCGAATCCAAACTACAACAAAGATCACCTGAGGTTTTTTGTCGTCAGGCCACACAAGTGATTCTAATCTCAAAGCTGTGTACAAGCCACCAAACCCGCCACCTAAAATGCACACCCTTGGCCTCTGTAAACAGAGAGCTTACATTCATTAAGTTACAGAGTCCGCAATGGAAACTTAGAGATCTCATACATTGCTTTAAAGAGTTGAAAACCTTCTTATCAGGCCACGTGTAAGTCCTAGGAGCTGTTTCATTCTCAGAAATCTCAGTGTAGCCACCATTGTTTGCTACCGCCCTCGACACATACAAACGAGGGGCGCAACTCGGTGAATTCCTGAGAGAATAAAAATTGAATCCAGATGTTCTTGAAGCTAAAGAGGCTTTAGTGCTCAGTCTCTTTGCCCCATCTGAAACACATTGAGGATAACACCAGAAGAATCAACAATCAAACCACTGCCAGATGAATACTACTAAGATCGATTCTTTCATTAGAATCAAAAACAAAGAGTAGGAATTTCAAAATCAGATAAGCAAAAGGATTCTCCTCAGAAAAATCAGAAACGGTCTTCTCAAAAAGAGAAGCTTTTTTTGCATACCCAGAGATTAAATCGACTCAAAAAGTTTCACACTTGGCTCTAATTTTCCTAAATGTCCGTAAAACCCAGTCGGAAAATGAAAATCTTTCAAACGATTGGAACAAAACAGAGACACGAACCGATCAGAATCATACAACCAGATTGGATTGAGGAAAACAAAACAGTACTTACGAGAGAAGGGTAAGAGAGAAGACGCGGCTGAAAGAATGGCCATCGGCGATTTTTTAATATTGCCGGAGACTCGAAGTTTTTTTTTTTTTGACAACAATGGAAGTTTTATTGCAGTCGTCTCGTTTCTTATGGATGTTGGGATTCCACGCTCCGCAGTTTTGGACATGTGTAGTGTGTTTAGTGCCTGTGACGATTAAAAAAAAAAAAATCAATCGCTCACGGTGCCAGAAAAAAAAAAACGCGGCTGAGTCTAGCGGTTAGCAGCATTTACAAACGCCAATTTTAATTTTTTGGTCAAGACAAACGCGATTATTAAAGTCAATTTTTTTTCTTGATTCTGGAACACAGGTGTTGTGTAATATCCAAAACATCCCGACGCTTAAACTTGCAAACATTTTACCTAGTAAAGAGGGTTTGTCACTTGTCACCAATTAACAACACTCGTTTGCTGGCTAATCTTATTATAGCTTACAAGTTTACATAGTAAAGCCAAGCTTATCCCAAAGATTACAGTCGTAAATTTCGAATAAGATCAGGTTCCAACGAAAAGAAGTACGACTACATTTCTGCTGACTAATCTTATTCGTCTGCTTTTGGTCTGTTTTAGTGGGAATCTGAACAGTTTTTATCTGGGGAAAAAACCTTTTTAAAGTTTATAACAAAGAAAAAACAAAAAAAAAAAACACAAGAAAAAGAACAATCTACACTTTTCACGATATGAGTGGTTGATGTTAGTGGCAACTGGCAGAGAAGAGAAGTATCACTAAAAATCATTTCCATTTGTTACACAAAGTAAAGAAAGAAAACCAGAAAATTAAAACACACTCCCCCACACACACAAAAAAAACCAAAAAAAAAAAAAAAAATTCTGAACGTAAGCTCATAGAAAGGGGTGAGATTTTTCTCATCCTTGATAAATCCCAACACCTAATTCTCATAATTTTAGGCGGCCAAAGAGAGAGATAGAGGGACAGACGCATTGGGCTTCTATTTTGTTTATTTGAAGAACCAGGATTCTCGCTGCTTACTATATATGTAACTATCAATCTCTACCCAGATTCTGCGGAGGTTTGCTTTCCCTATTGATTTGATCTCTCTTCTCTTTTTCCCCGAAATTCGTTTCATTTCTTGCGATACTCAAAACCCAAATTTTGCATATGTTTGATCTATCTATTTCTTGTAACTGCAGATCTTTTTATTCCCTTTTGCTTTGTTTTGTAAACTTAGATCAATATGATTAATTTGGTATCATGTTTTAGGCGGTGCAATACAGTGACCTTTTTTGTAATTGAAAGTGACGATTTTTTTTGTCTTACAACTTCGAAAATCTTTAATTTATTCATGAGTGGGAGTTTGGTGGAATCCTTGTTCGAAGCTTTTAAAATAGATTATTGGCGTCCTCTTCTGATTCTTATACATTATTGATATCTTTCGGTTACAATCTACAAAAAAAAAATAATCTTATTGATTTGCAGACACCTTTTTTGTGATGTCTTGAAAACTTTTTAGTGGTTCTTCACATGATCTGATAGGTTGGTTGGATCTTATTAATATATTATAGTTGCTACGTCTTATTCGCGTGTTGTTAGAAATCTCCTCTCACTTGCTGCAGAAAACTCCTTGATGCTTCTCTAAGCTTGATTCCATTTTTGTTTAGATTCTCCTTTGTCTTTATGTTTGCACTTTAATGTAAAATCTCAAGATTCTGCTAAATTTGGCAGTTTGGTATGTCTTAACTACAGGAGCTTTGAGTCTTCTCGTTGTCTTAGAGGGACAATAGTTGCTGAAGGTCTTTTGTTCGATGGGAAAACTTGTTCTTAAGCTGTCAAAAGGTAATTTCTATGTATCTGGAGTAGAATTTCTTACGAGGAAATAAGCCATAAAGGAGTTTGGTTTTTGGAGAAATGGTTTAAGTAGTATTGGGAAGAAATCTGCTTTGGTTATTTTTGGATTTGATGGGTAAAGAGAATCAGTTGGAGACTACTGATTGTGGAGCCAGTGATCACGATTCTCCACCTATCAAGAACGAAGAACATGAGGCACCACGTTACAGCTCAGACAAAGACACGGGTTTACCAACATGCCGTGTGTGCCAATGTGCAGAATCCGATAGAAGAGGAGATGCTGCTTTAGGGTTTTTGGGTATTACTCCTCCGGTTTCAGAACCTCGTAGAAGCAGTGTGGGCGAAGAAACCGTTGATCAGAAAAGCTCTGTTGTCAAATCTAGCGGATTCATCGAGCTAATAAGTCCGGACGGAGAAGTTTTCGTATGTGCAAATGATGATATAGAGATGGGAGCGTGGCAGCATCGAGATACGTTGCTAGAACTCGGATGTTCTTGCAAGAACGATCTTGCTTTGGTACACTACGCTTGCGCATTGAAATGGTTTGTCAACCACGGATCAACGGTTTGCGAGATCTGTGGAAATGTCGCGGTGAATATAAGAACAGTTGATTATAACAAAGTGGTTATCTCCTTGAAAGATTACACAGCGCTAAGAGAAAGAACAGCCGATGGTGATCCGAACCCTGTAGCTGTTAACAACAACACGAGTTCTTCAGGGATAGATCCTGATGCGGTTGCAGCCATTCGAAGGCAACGGCTTAGTGAGATTTCGTTATGGTTTGGTCCACATTGCCCAAACAACAACAATAGTGGTAACTCCACTGGTCCAGGGGCGGTTTCTGAACAACCTTTGGGTATAGTAAGCTTTGATATCTTGCCTATGGAGAGCCGTGCCACGAAATGGGCTGTAGAAGGTACAGGGATACTACTTGCTACCGGATTACTCACTGTTACTTTGGCTTGGCTCATTGCTCCTCGTGTCGGAAAGGTATGCATGTATATTGATCCCACCTGATTCTTGGATTCTATTGTTTGTTTAGATGTTATAATAGTGTAAACACTAGTCCTCTATATGTTTAGAAAATGTTAAAAGGCTAATTTAGTGATCATTTGCCTTTGCACAGAGAACTGCAAAGAGTGGACTGCACATACTCCTGGGTGGCCTCTGTGCTTTAACAGTAGTCATCTTCTTCAGATTTGTAAGTAAAGGTCTCATTTTCTTGTCTTGTTGAAACCTGAGAGTATGAATGAATGAATTACTCTGAATAAAAACATGAAAACAGGTAGTGCTGACTAGAATCAGGTACGGACCAGCACGTTACTGGGCAATCTTGTTCGTCTTCTGGTTTCTTGTGTTTGGCATTTGGGCTTCACGTTCCCACGCTTCTTCTCACTCTTCCACTTGAACATTCTTCTTCACCCTCACTCTCCTTGTTGTGTTACTCTTTTTTTTTTTTTTTTGACTGTATCTGTCTTTGTCAATATCGTTTACATAAAAAATGTACAATTAATATCTCCCATCAAAAAAGAAAAGGCTGAGTATCTCTTCAACTTATTCGGTCTTTCCTATTTACTTCACCAATTTTTACATCTCGTTGTTTCTTGTTCGAAACGAATTTGAACCGAAAATAGATGAAAACAAGAAAAAACAATCCACTGCGTGAGTGTGTCTGCAGTAATGTTTTGGTGGAATCTGTTAAGTTCCGAGAAGGAGATAAAGAATTAGTCGGTGGCTTCTTATTCCTTTTGCCTGAATTTCTCGTTTGTTTGATATTCAAAAATTTACATTCCTAAAAGATCAAATCTTTGTCAATGGATGATTACATCGAAGAAAAAAAGAACCAAATTTACGCAAGGAAGAAGAGATCGTCAGTCATCAACATCAAATATTGCAGAATCCGGAGAGGTGCATTCCTAAAATCCAATTGAGGAAGTCTCAGTTCTCTTACTCTACACGACCCACCATTTCTGTCTCGGGTCATGACCCGACCCGTATACACTTTCCTAAACAGATACGCCGAGCTTCCGGAGTTGCTGTGTCCGGTAGATTCCGGCGACGGATTCTCCTTCGTCTTGTAAATTGTCCATCCATTTGAAGCCAATGCCTGCGAGAAACTCTCCATCGATCCGATTCGTTTGCTGGTGATTCTTGAGAAGAGAGATACGGAGCAGCAATCCCAATTGCTGACGGATCCGGAGGAGGATGATGGGGTTTCCACGGCGGCGGAGAAGACGAGCTTAAATAGGCCATTGGAGAGGGAGACGAATGATCGGAGATGGGAGAGTGAGGAGGCGGAGAGAGATGGGAAAGAGAGCATCACGGCGTCGTTTGGAAGAGACCACGACAGAGACGACGATAGCGATGCCGCCGAAGACGACCAAGTCGAAGGATGCGACGAAGAGGAGAAAGGCGACGGCGATCCCGATTCTCGCGGCGGGAATGAGAAGATGATGTGAGAGAGGGAAGGTGTTGGGTACAAATCCATACCTAGATCTCTCGCGATTGTGGCTAATCGGTAAGCGTCTGCGATCAATTCTCGGGTGGGAACGAAGACAAGCAAAGGCGTTTTGGAATTTCTCGTGTTGCTGTTGTTGTTCTTGTTTTCCGATCTCGATCGGGTTTTTGATTGCTTGTAGGAGCTTAGGATTTGCCGGATGCTGGTTTCCCCGTCTCCATCGCCGTCTACTTCGTCTTGATCGCCGCAATTATGGGTGAGATTGAGAGTCTCGTGAAGGAGAAGAGAGCGAGCAAGCTTTAATGGAAGCATTTCTGATTTCTGATCTTAGTTCGCGTCGTCTTCGTTGGCTGGTTTGCTTTTTATTTCCCTTTAGGGTAGCTTTACTAGAACCAAACAGAACCGATCGGTTTTTTATTAAAGAATAAATTCGATTTGGCTCGGTTTAATTCGGTTAATTGGAGATAAATTATTGTCCATCACCTTGGCAAGTTTCTCAGTTCTCACTTTCCTCGCCTTCAGGATTTAAGCGCCGACCCTGTGTTCACTGTAGAGCTTCGATTCTACTCTCATGGCGGCTTCTGCTACAATAGTTCCTATGGTTTGTAACTTTGGCTTCTTATCTTCTTCGATTCTGTGTATTTTTTTTTTCCTTTTGTCCAGGGTCTATATTAGCTCCTCACCCTTTGTCAACGTTTTTGTGGTTAAGGTTGCAGTAAGTAGGGTTTAAAATCTCTAATTTCGTTCTAAATTTACTTTCTAGTTCTATGATTAGCCGTCTTCCGGTGGTAATTTCTGGGTCTGTTTCTTCTTCCAAGGCTTGTTGGAAATTTATGTATTTTTTTTTTCTTAAGTTAGATTGGTCGATGCGATAGCTTGAGTACTTGTTCATGCATTGAATCTGAATGTTGACTATGAAATGTTGTTGTCAACTACAGGCACATGAAAGAAAAGTTGAGAATCTGAGAGCCTTTATGGTGAATTTGGCGAACTCGAGAGGCTTATTACTTCCTGAGACTAATCTCTTCGAGCAGAAGTTCTTGGACCTGTGTTTATCCCGTGCTCCTGATCATCCCACTTATTCTGCTGTATGTATGAAAGTTTAAGATCTCTTATGTGCATATACTACACACACATACACATCCCTGCTTGCCTTCTTCTGACTGTATAAATTTGTTCCAGATGATTTTTGTTGCTATCACGGAGTTGAATAAAGAAGGTGGCTCTCGCGAAGAAGCCATATCAGAGTTCATTAAGTCCAAGTACAGGAACTTGCCATTTGCTCACACGAGTTTGCTCAGTCATCATCTAGCTAAGCTAGTGGAGAAAAGAGAGATACTTTGTGATTACAACAACAACCACTGTTACACTCTCCCGGGAGAGAAGAAGAAGAAGAGCGATGCCTCCACTGATGCTGAAAGAAGGAGCACTGTGATAACAGTGAGAACGAATGATCAGTGTGCGGCGAATGAGGTTGTGACTCGCCAAAATGAGGAAGAGAGTGTTAGAATTTTGTATTTGGAGAATCATAAGGTAGATTTGTTGGAAGAACGGACTTTGACTGAATCGGAAACCATACCCAAACATAAAGCATGTGGTAGCATTAACGTCATTGAAGCAAGGCACACAGAAGATAATGGAGTCAAAGCATATTTGAGGGATTCAACTGTTGAAACTCTTAGGAAAGAGGGAGTTGATAAAGGACCAGAAGTGGCTCTAGAAAATAGTGAGACTGAAGGTAGGATTGAAGCAAACAGTGAAGGAGGTGAATTATATGAGGTGGTTGTTCAAGATGAGCAAAATGATGTGGTGATGGAAGAGTCAGGTAAAGGAGAAGAAAAGCTAATAGACAAAATTTCAAAAGAGAGTAAAGCGAAGTTGGGCAGAACATATAATACGATGAAAGAAGCATGTGTGGAAGTGAAGAGTGAAGCATATAAAACACTTTTCGAATGCCAAACCGAAGCATGCAGCGATATCATTGCTCTCGAGTAAGCTCTGATCCCTTTTTTTTTTGCCTGTTTTCATTTTCATTTTTTTGAATTAGCTTAAGTTTTTCATTTTTCTCTGTGGGCATTGGGAAAATAGGGAAATGCTAAAGCAGTGCAGAGAGAAAGACCAGCAGAACAATGCTGTTTCAGAAAGTGATGATGTTTCTCGTTTGCCTCTGTCAATGGTGATATGACGAAACCCTGTAACTTCATGTCATTGATGTGTTTATGTGCTGGTGAAAAACTGGTCTAAGACATTTTTTTTGCTTTGTTTGTTATTGTTGCCTACTTTTATTTACAGGAGAGCTGCAAAGAACTGTGGAAGGTTGCCCACAAGATACAAAGCCAGCTTTCTGAGATCATCGATTCCTTTGATGAAGCCGTGGTTCCATATTATGAATCTCGAGGATGTGAAATCGGAGGTATAAGCAAAGAAGTCTTGAAAGAGGGTCCCAAGAAGAAAACGCCTTGTGGGAATAATGGATCTGCAATAGCCTCCAAACAGCTTGAACAGAAGGAAAGAGAGATTGATTCTCAAAAGAAACCACCACGGGTCAAGAAAACGCGAGTCAAAAGACTTCGAGACATAGGAACAACAGTATTGAGGAAATCACCTCGCGTACATAAACCAATATAAAGATTCTGAAACTTTATTAAAAATAAAAGATAAAGCTTTGGAGAGTACAAGATTTCTTATATAAAGGTCAGGTTATCTCTAAATATCAGTATCTAGTATCTACATAACAACATCATGAAAAATTTGTATATTTCTTTTTCATATAAATGTCTGATGAAATAACAAGAATTTGCCTACCAATGAGACATTGTGATGCTAACAACTATCAACACTATACAATCTTCTTTTACTACTATGAATCAGAGACGATTGAGAACTGCTCTCTCTCTCGCACAACACAACACAGGCAAAACATCGTTTACTCTCTTCCTTTTTAATTACCCCTGTGGAGCAAAACTCCAATTCAAGAATGGTTTCTGCTCGGGCGGATCCTGGAAAGAAGTGAAGTAATCAGGCTGATACAAGTACTGAGGGACAAAAGCGTCATTCTGCAGCAACTCCATGGAACCACCAAACATGGAAGTATCAAAAGCCTGCAAAGCATCCTCAAGCTCTCCCCATTTAGGCTCACTCTGAACCTCCCGAACATCCGGTGACACCACGTGACCACCCGAGCTGCTCGAATCATCCTCTTGCAGTGTAGGGTAAGTCGAGCCCGATGTATCAAAAGGCGATGATGATTGATCCGCCATTGTCGTCGTGGTCCTCGGTTTCTCATCCGCGGGGTAATATTTCTCCATGGTTCCTTTCTTGTTGTAGATTCGACATAAAACCCAATCATCAAGCTGTAACAAAAACACACAACAACAAAGTTAGTAATCTAACTCATCATCATCAAATTCAGGAAAAGATGAAAGAAGAAAAAGAAACAGAACATACTCGTAGGTTGTTCTTTTTGTTTAAAGAAGCTGATCTATCGACATTAGCGAGACGATACTCGTGCATAATCCAATTGGTTTTGATCCCTTTTGGAGCTTTCCCAGCGTAGAAGACGAGTGCTTTCTTTATACCCAAGGTCTTCGGTTTACCGATTGGTTTATCTGCTCCGGTCGCTTTCCAATAACCGGTTCCTGCTGCTCGGTTTGGACGAGAACCGTTTGGGTATTTCCGGTCTCTGGGTGAGAAGAAGTACCACTCTTTCTCTCCGTACAAAGACATGTCTGAAAGAAGAACAAAACTCAGATTAACAACGATTCTCTGAAAAGAAAACACCTCGAAAATGGTTAGAAGCCCATAGATATCTACCTGGAAGCTCCCAAGGATTGAACTTGTAGAGATCAATTTCGGCGATAACCGGAGCTGAGATCGGCTCCGATGCGCATTTCCGGCATAAGTAGAATTTCACAAGCTCCTCGTCCGTCGGATGGAATCGGAATCCTGCCGGTAAGTTTAGCTCTGCTTTCATTCTCAAAGTTCTCGTCTTTTTCTTTTTTGTTGCTCTTCAAAATTTTCTTCTTCTTCTTTCAAATTTCACTCGGATCTGAGTTTCTATTTTCGTCGTCTGCTCAAGATTAGAATCGAGGAGATGAGAGTGAGACGATGAAGATTTTATAAGGACGTAAATCGCCGAAATTTATTAATTAAATTGAAAAAAGAAAAACAAGAGAGAGAGAGATGACACGAGGGGGTTTTTCTTTGAAGCACGTGCGGCAAAACCGGCCGATTTCTTTTCTACGCTGACCGCAGTCCGCAGCCAGCTGGTTAAGTACGTGGCGTAATATCAATGGATAGTCGACTTAGCGAAAACAAGTGATGTTGTCATTGCTTGCGTCACATGCGCGCGCCTTTTGTAGATTGTTGACCGACCTTCAAGTGTCAAACCCCTTAATCTCCTGCTTCTCAGTGTAGCTTATCCCCTTTTGTTCCTTTACTTACCACTAGACCTAGACACATTATCCAAACCCGAACAATTTATCCGAATCCGATCCGAAAAAGAGAAAACGAATTCGAACTAAAACTAATAAAATATCCAAACGGTTTTTAAATTTCTAAATCCGAAAAACCGAAACCGCATCAAACCGAACCGGAAATTCGAATAAATATCCGAAATATTTGAAATACAATTATATACCCAAAATACTAACTACATTTAAACTTAATAACCTAAAATTACAATTATAAATCCAAAATATAAATTATTTTTATTCTGAAAATGATGAAAAAATCTACAATAATTTAAATATACTAAAATTTTTAGTTATATTTGTTAAATTTTGCCAAATTTTGTTTAAATTTAACCAATTTTATTTAAATTTAATTATTTTTATTTAATTTTTAATATTTTTGGATATCCGAACCCGAACCGAACCCGATCGAATAACCGAACCGAACCGAAATTCTAAAAACACCCGAATGGGTTTTAAATCTAAAAACCAAAATCCGAAAACCCGAATTATCCGAACCGAATCCGAATGGATATCCAAACGCTCAAACCTACTTACCACTAAAGGTCTTTCATGTTTTTCTAATTTTTTCCCCCAATTATTCTCTCAGCAGCCATTACTTTCACTATATTTAATTGGATACATTACACACTATTGTAACCTAAGCTGAAGAGAAGTCAGCATTACTTGAGGTGGAAGTTTTTTTGGTTGTGACTTGTGATTAGACACAATTGACGAATTTACCGGTGAGCTTCTCCGCACCGGAATATAATTTCCTCTTTGAGCAAAGCTCGCGTCATGACGGATGACGTCGTCTAACGTTGAATCGTACGTGGGTTTAGTTAGTTGCAATCGCGCGCGAATCGTAATCACCGGATTCTTACAATATTTTAAAAATTAGATTTCTCTGTTATATAATATATATTCTCTGATAAAGCAATTAGTATAATTTAAACGTTCACGAAATTGTACTAAGAAAGCGATTGCACTTCGGTTTAAAGGTTCATGATTATAGAAATGCTAACAAGTACTATTTAACCGTTAGTTCAATCCTTGACTAAGTACTTCTTGAATCACATTAATTAGGGACTTGCTTTAAAAATTCATTGATTTGATTTGTTATGGTTTAAAAAAATGCACATGAAATCTTCTCTTCTATTTATAAATGGAAAGTTGAGGTAGGTCTATGAGAGACTGACGTGGGCTTGTTCCCCGTTTTATGATCATCACTTACGTTTCGTATCATATATAAATTATTATTATGTTTTAGTATTACAACTCCAATAAGCAAATGAATAATACGAAATTGTCTCTTAGTCAAACATGACTTTTTTTGTTAATCAGGATTTTTCTGTACATGGATTAATTAGAAAATGAAAGTATGATCATATGCATGTAATTTGTTTCTTGTCGTTTTGGATGGTAATAGAGTAATAGTCAAGTCTAAAAGGAAAAGATAAGTCATAAGACCAATAAGATAATATGGTTTTCCAATTATAAAAATCAGATAAATTGTATCTGGACTTGATATGAGTTTATTGTTATATATACAGAAATCATCACTTTATACTACTTTTTGCAGTTGTTTTGTTTTAAGTCGTCGTGTGAATTGGAATAGGAAACTTCGTGGAGCTTGGTGTTATAGCTGCCGAACTTGACCTGAACCATATAAATACTTTTGTGAGGACTGTTACTTGTCGTTTTGTCGTATTTAGATTTTTGGAATATGCTCAAGAAGTTTGGATAAGGAGGACAGACAAGCTGGGACCTCATTGTCGGAACTTAGAACATATCTTTAGTATCACTTATATACTATTCATATATGACTACTTTGTCTTATATATACGTGTGTGTTTGTGCGATTGCAAAAAGTCAAATGATTTATATGACATGCGTTTTGAAACCGTGGAATATTGTATTCTATAATATAAAATTAATCTGATGGGAATGTTTGAGTAGTGTTGCGTTTATGATAGATTTCCACTTTCGAACTTCTGAATCAAAGGCACTCAAAACTCACGCTGTTTTGCATCGCATGACAATGATTCAAATGCCCCACGGTTTTTTTCAGACATTAATCTGATTCTAAAAGCAAGAACCAAACAAATGTAAAAAGAGTTGGTCAACGAGAATATGTCTTTACTCTTCTTATATATACATAATACATTGTGTTTCGCCGTCTGTATCATAAATATGTCATTCATTCAAATTGATCTCTCTAAATTTCAACTTCAGAAATCAGAACTATGCTACAATATTGGAATAAGACTTGCATACCCAAAGACTTGGACTAAATTAATGTTTGTGGCACAGAATTATGTTTCAATTGTTTGCACCCATTTGAAATCTTTAAAACAATGGGCCACGTTTGTCCTTCTCTTCTCTGTCAACCACTCGTCGGGCGTTACTCGTTTCTACAGCAACAATGGGCCAATATTGGGCCTAGATTTGGGTCATTATGAAAAACCGTCGCGTAACTGGAGATCCACATCCGGTTCGAATTCTCTGGGTTTTGTATAATAAGGTAATGGTTTCTTTGCATCTGTCAATGAAATTCGACAGATATATGTATGTACTTCATTCAATTTTAATCATGTTTCCCCCTTTAATTAGAGGTTCCAACTGATAACGTGACTTTTATTCCTCTAATTATTTATTTATTTTGAGCTCCTGTGATATTCCTCGTGATTCCTCTCTACTTATGGATTTAAGATTCTCAAGATATTTGTTTTTTTGGTAATATTTGTTTATTTTCAATTTGTGGTTTTCAGTTGGATATTTATTTTCTTTCTTCGAAGGCTTTTGTGTTGGATTTTTCTCATGCAATTAATTGTTTTGGCAAGTAAAACATATTTTTCTTAATCGATAACATGAAACGATAGCTAGATATAAGTACAAGTGAGACCAAAGGCACATGTCAATGTATTGAGAGAAGATTTTGAAATTAACCAATAACTTGGCAAACATCATGTCATTATTCATGCATCACACGATCAATATTGGTCATTTCCATCATATACTTTTTGTTTTTTTGGTTAAAATTTCCATCATATACTTATTGGACCACTTGTAATTACAACTCCTGAGTACTTAAATACGTAGAAAATTACAATAAATCTGAAAAAAATATTGCAAAACAAATATTTATATTTGGTGAATTTTATTAACAAGAAAGACATTGACGATTGTATATGTAAGTTTTTAATATATTATTTTTATTTTGAAAAGAAGGAATTAGTAAATTATAGGAAGACAGAATCTTTGAATTTGAAAAGAACTTCTAATTTCCTAATGAAGAATTTCAAAGATGCTCTCTTAAAATACTAGGAAATAATAATGAAAAATATTGATGGATAGGAGCACTCGACAAATTCGATTCTCTTCACAGTTCCTAATATAATCATATCCTACACTACGACATTGGACGGTGTTGGTACTTGGCTCAATTTATAATTTTCTTTATGAATTTTTCTGTAACTTAATTCGCTCTTGTCTGTTTATGGTGTGCATTACGGATTAGTGTTGAGATTTACGATGACCGGTTAAAAAGTGACAGTTGTTAAAGTTTGATTACTAAATATTGGATTTTTGATTAACACTAATTGAAGTGTACTAGTATTACTGTGCTACTACACTAACACGAATTGGTATTAGTCTTTAGGGTCTTTAGTCCACGTAAAAACTAATTGGTTAAAGCTCAACGAACGTTCGATTCTTAGCTAGTGCTAATTGATAATGTTGAGCTTCCACTCAATATTTTGCACCCTATTCCTAAACAAATTTCTTAGGACTCCTGTTACTCACTTTAAAAATGGATAACATATATAGAGTTAAGTCTAAATTTTGAACCACAGACAAATTTTCTCTAGACGTTTCACAAATACTTTTCGTATACATATTTAGCTAGGTACATGAATATTATTGTCGGAACTACTAGGCTTTCACAATTCATTCTTCTTCACTTTTTTTTCGACTTTCGAACAAAACACTACGCGTGGCATGCATAAAGAAACTCCACGGTATATGGAGGAACACCTTAATGATCATTCCATATATAAAATATATTTAAGCACTTAGACAGCATAAATTCTTGCTAATTGTATAGATTTGAAGTAATGATGGGTTTATAACCTTTTTATTGATAGAAATAGTATATTATATATGTGAGTGATTAAGTCGACCCCAAAAGGTACGGAGGAGAAAACAAGCATTTGATTCTCTCTTATATTTTTTTATGCATCCTTCACTAATGATGGTGGAGAAAAAAAGAAAATACCCAACTAGCAAATATTTGTCAAAACCGAAATAATTGTCATACAAAAATATTTGTATAGTTTTAGTTAATTAAATAATATTCCTCACTTTTCATGGCTTATATAAGAAGGTGACCAGACACAGATCAAAATGCAGCAGCAACTCCTATCATCACCCATCTCCTTTAAAGTTCTATTTTGCTCTTCTTTCATTTTGTTCATAGCTTTGTAATAATAGTCTTCTTCTCTAAAGGCTCAATAAGAGGAGGTACTACTAGTACTACATTTCTCTCTATTTACTTATATTTTAAAATTATTATCAGAAACTGGTTTTAATAAATTCAAAAGAGTAAACTTAAAGATGTTTAGTCTGAATTTCGTTCTTTCACTTTAGAAGAATAATAATCAAAATGAAATTAATATGAATAGCTTACAAGTTTCGATTCAAATTCAGATTTTAATCAAATACTGTCACTCTTTGAGTAAAAAAAAAATCGATGTAGAGTCTTTCACACTTACGTATTTATTTATAATTTGGTTCGGAGTTTATAAGTTTCTTGTGATCCACTCTGTCACGGTCCAAATGGACGATTTCTAGTAATAATTAAATGTTTATGAGAAGAAACCAAAAAAAAAAACAAAGTAAACTAATTGTGGTTTGTAACTAAATAACAGATGGGTGAAACCGCTGCCGCCAAGAACCATCACCACCACCATCACGGCCACCAAGTCTTTGACGCGGCCATACACGATGTAGTCCCTCCACAACCGGCTTTCAAATGCTTCGACGATGATGGCCGTCTCAAAAGAACCGGTTACATTCTTATACCAAAGAACTAAAAATGTCAACTTTTTCGTTCATTGTTTCATAAAACGCAAAACAAAAACGTGTTTTTCTTTTGTTTCCTATTGTAACCATTAGGGACCGTTTGGACGGCAAGCGCTCACATAGTCACAGCGGTGATCGGATCTGGAGTTCTCTCGTTGGCATGGGCGATTGCACAGCTCGGATGGATCGCTGGACCTGCGGTGATGCTATTGTTCTCTTTAGTTACTCTCTACTCTTCCACACTTCTCAGCGACTGCTACAGAACCGGCGATGCAGTCTCTGGCAAGAGAAACTACACTTACATGGACGCAGTTCGATCTATTCTCGGTAATAAATAATGATTTCAATGCTCTGTTTTGGTTCTGCTTTCAGCTCTCTGTTTTTTTTTGTTATAATATTGATTTCAACGCTCTGTTTTTTTTTTAAAGGTGGGTTCAAGTTCAAGATCTGTGGGCTGATTCAGTACTTGAATCTCTTTGGTATCGCCATCGGATACACAATCGCAGCATCGATAAGCATGATGTGAGTTTTTTTTAAGTTTCTTTTCGAAACTACTCTTCAGAAACAAAAGTTTTTTAACATTTTGGTACTCTCGGATGGAACATGCAGGGCGATCAAGAGATCGAATTGTTTCCACAAGAGCGGAGGGAAAGATCCGTGTCACATGTCGAGCAATCCTTACATGATCATATTTGGTGTGACAGAGATCTTGCTCTCTCAGATTCCTGATTTCGACCAGATTTGGTGGATCTCCATTGTAGCAGCTGTCATGTCCTTCACTTACTCTGCCATTGGTCTAGCTCTCGGAATCGTTCAAGTTGCAGGTGAAAAAACTAACTAGAAAAGACTCCCATAATCTTCATGACAGTTGAAAAATGCTAAACCCTAAATGAATTGAAAATTCTCTCAGCAAATGGAGTTTTCAAAGGAAGTCTCACAGGAATAAGCATCGGAACAGTGACTCAAACACAGAAGATATGGAGAACTTTTCAAGCACTTGGAGACATTGCCTTTGCTTACTCTTACTCTGTTGTCTTAATCGAGATTCAGGTAAAAAAACAAAACTTTCTTTGAACAAAGATTCAATGTTTTTAAAACCGAAACTAAAAAGATTCAACCTTTTAGGTAAAAGTGTAAAACACATCTTTTCTTTGCTTAAAAGATTCGATTTTTTGTGTGGGAATCTAGGATACTGTAAGATCTCCACCGGCGGAATCGAAAACGATGAAGAAAGCTACAAAAATCAGCATTGCTGTTACCACCGTCTTCTACATGCTATGTGGATCAATGGGTTACGCCGCCTTTGGAGATGCAGCACCCGGAAACCTCCTCACCGGTTTCGGTTTCTATAATCCGTTTTGGCTCCTCGACGTGGCCAACGCCGCCATTGTCGTCCACCTCATCGGAGCTTACCAAGTCTTTTCTCAGCCCATCTTTGCCTTCGTAGAAAAGTCAGTCTCAGAGAGGTTTCCAGACAACGACTTGGTCACCAAGGAATTCAAAATCAAAGTTCCGGGGTTTAAGTCTCCATACAGAGCAAACGTTTTCAGGGTGGTTTTCCGTTGCTGTTTCGTCGTTTTAACCACCGTGATATCGATGCTAATGCCGTTTTTCAACGACGTGGTTGGGATCTTAGGAGCTTTAGGGTTTTGGCCCTTGACGGTTTATTTTCCGGTGGAGATGTATATAAAGCAGAGGAAAGTCGAGAAATGGAGCACGAGGTGGGTGTGTTTACAGATGCTTAGTGTTGCTTGTCTAGTGATCTCGGTGGTCGCCGGAGTTGGATCTATCGCCGGTGTAATGCTTGATCTTAAGGTCTATAAGCCGTTCCAATCTACATATTGATAATTGACGATGACAATCGACCATGAACAAAAAAAAATGGTGTGTAGATTTTTTTTTTCATTTTAAGCATTTGGAAAAAAAAAAAATGTGTATAATGTAAGTTTCAATTCCGTATGGTCTCATCTTTTTAATAAATTTTAAAATATGTTTTATAAAAAGTGTAATTCGTGTGTTTTCGTTAATCTTAGAAATCCTTAAGTTGCAAAAAAGACGAAGAAGAAGATCCCCACTACACATGTATAACCAAATAATTATAACCACGTAATTTATAGTAATCGAGTTGTGAATTTTCGTTTGTAATAAACTAATAATTATATGACTTAGGTTTTTGATAAACATGGTGATGGTAAGATGGAATTGGAATCAAAGTGACACTGACGTCTCAAAGATTTTTGACTGATAAAGTGAAGTTGAAAAGAAGCAATTTGGATGGTTTAGCATAAAAGAGAATTTCCTCAATAGTAAAATTAAGCTCTCCACCCAGCCTATTTTTAATACCCTACCTCACTTATCAAAAAACATGTAGGGTTCTTGGTAATGATCAGAATCTTTGAAACTTTGAAAGTATCTACAATTAACACACGCTTCTGAAAACAACCCAGAAAGGTCAAAGGTTTGGTACTAATACATCTAAAGTTCAGACCAGAGAAATGTAAACATGCCTTCCTCGTGCTCTCGATTATTCAGTCCTCAGTCACAGAGGTAAACAGTTTCTTACAGAGAGAAAGTTCTGAACTGAGAGATTGAGAAGATGCAGAGAGTTCATCATCCAACAGATGCTTGAGTGGCTTTCTATGTTGAGTTTGTGCTGCTTAATGAGGCAGCCGCAGCTTCACGCTCCTGCCGGATTCGTTCTCTCTGTAGAGATTCAGTGTAAACGACATAGAAGCAGAAAACTAAAGTTAGTCAAAATGAAATGCGCAAAAAGGGAGAAATTAAAATAAATAAACAACATTAAAGGTATTGGCAATACATGATCCGAATTTTTTAATTTACAGAGCCAGATCTGAGAGCATACTTCATGCTACCTATACAAATAACCGATTGTTCCAAGATATAGTTAGCTTCTATGACATTTTTTTGTTCTGAGAAATAGATTTACGTCTGCATTTAGTAATATGACTTGTCTGTATATAATAAATCTTAGCAACAACAGAACTCAACATCTACAACGTTACTGCTCGTTTTACCTCCAGAATTTGGCTACCTGATCAACCACAGAACAGTTTTCTCGAGTCAAATAACTATAGGAGCGGACCTTTACATGGAACACTATAAAACGGCAAAAGAGATTTTGAGTCTTTAAGAACTGTTGACTAACTTGCCCTCTCTCAAAACGTATCAGAACTAGTTACCATGATCATCAAACATAGAGTTAATCTACACATTTGGAGGCATTGAGAACATAACAAAAAGCAGAAAGTGGTCACTGTCTTGAGAAAGTTAAATCTACAACATACCCGTCTCTCCCAGTAAGGCAAGAAGCACACAAAGTCATAGACTGGAGTAATCGTTTGCACCAAAACAGCGTTTATTCCAGTGAAAAGCAACAGTCCCATCAAAGGCCTTGTTCTGTGAGGCATCTTTACTCCAAACTCTTAAGTATCTTCAGCTCTGTAATCATTTTAGTTATATCCTAACTTGGTTTTATCAAAACAAAATCAAAGCAAAAGCATTTCCTACCGAGTGTTCCAACATAACAAATATCATTGGGGTTTGCTTTAAAGAGACTTACCAGAGATTGTGGAAATCAATTCTGAAGAAAATTCCAGTAACGAATCAACATACCTGTAGCAGAATCACACCCCAAAAAAAAAAAAACCGAACAACAAAAGATTATTGATGGACAGAATCGAATCATTTAAGATAAGCTGCATCCTTAAATTTTCGAAATAGTAACAAACAGTAATCGACATGATAAAAATGAGAACAATTCGAAAATGGAGTTTTGACTTACGACGGAGGTGCTAAAGTGATCGTCGACGACGAAGAGGGGGATCGGTGGTTTAAGCAGATTAGGTCTCTCTTTAATTTCTTTAACGACACCGTTTAAGTAAGTGAGTCATAACGGTGGATAAGTGCGCAACGTGGCTAATTACTCAGCCAAGAATTATTTTCCAACGTCCGATTTTTGTCACCTCGTCTTCTACTTTTTTTTCTCTAATTTTTTTTTTCTTTTGTGGAGAAGAAATACAGAGCAAAAAATAAAAATGAATAAAAATTGAAGAAATCTCATTTCATCCGCCATTAACGACCTCTCAAGGTATCTCAGATGGAAACATTCCTATATGTTCTTGGATTTTGATTTCCACCGTCGATTAATCGAACCTGTAAGCTTCTCTTTTATTTCCCGCTGAATTTTCCTAGGTCTCCTTATAGAATTAACTGTCGGTGAAACTCGATTGGTGGCTTAATTTTCCTCTCAGTAGTGCCATTTCCCTCTATATCTTCTTCCTTTTTCTTCTCCATGTATACATTTTAAGCTATTCTTTTTCTCTCTGTCTTTATGCTTATTATGGATTCATACCTTTAATCTATAAGTATCTGGTAAAATTGTGATCCTTCATGTTGGAAAGTGATTCAATTTAACATGTTTTTTCTCAATCTTGTATTACAATTTCCTTTAGTACGTGTTGATTGTTTTCTTCTGTCTTTGCGATTCAGGCTTCCGTGAGCATGAGAAGAGCGATTGGAGGTGTTGCTGCAACAGGCAAGTATTGGAAGCTGTTTATTGGAATGTTTTTTCCTGATCTTTTGTCTCGCCGTAGCTAGTTTGATCATTACCTAGCTCTGCAATGAGTTAGTGTTGTAATAGTTTCCTTGTTCTCAGATATGTTTGCCTTGCATAGTATGTGTCAACCAATGCGGTCTAGGAGAAAATTGGCGATGTTGTTTGAAGGATGTAGACGGTTTGTGAGGACAACATGTCGAGTTTCGATCCCTGGTGTTTCTTCGGGAAATGAATCAAAAGCACCTCCAAGATTCCTGAGGGATAAAAAAATAGTTCCAGATGCGGATCCTCCCCATTTGGAAGATATCCATAAGTTGTATCGACTTTTCGAGCAAAGGTCAATATTCCTACACAATCTTTTTCACAATTGAAGTGAGCATATATGATCTGTAAATCTAATGGCTTTCTTCTTCTTCTTCTTCTTTCGTGCAGTTCTAGACTCACCATCTTGACCGGAGCTGGGATTAGCACAGAATGTGGAATTCCTGATTATAGAAGGTTATTATGTTTATTCATTTGATTGGAAAATGGTTTGCATTCTCGTTCAGATGGTTTGGATTTAATCAAGATGCTTGATTTCCATTTTCCCTTTTGTTACATCTCTGGTTCCATTTTGTAATAATTTCTGACGAGTGATTGTTTGGTGCAGTCCCAATGGAGCATACAGTTCTGGTTTCAAACCAATTACCCATCAGGTGATCTGAAGGCAAGATCGATGAAATCTGTGCGGTAGTCTATGTAAACTCTAGATCATGTTATTGGTGTCTTAATCTACAGTCTACCCACAGGAATTCACTCGATCAAGTCGAGCTCGTAGGCGGTATTGGGCTAGGAGTTATGCTGGATGGAGACGGTTTACTGCAGCACAACCAGGCCCAGCTCATACTGCTTTATCATCACTAGAGAGAGCTGGACGTATAGATTTTATGATAACACAAAACGTTGACAGGTAAATATATCAGTTCCTCATTTGTGGGATTTCTGTTGGATGTTGTTGACTCTAAGCTCTAAGTTTTTAGGTTGCATCATCGTGCTGGGAGTGATCCGCTTGAATTACATGGCACGGTATATACTGTCATGTGCTTAGATTGCGGCTTCTCTTTTCCCCGAGACTCGTTTCAGGATCAGCTAAAAGCTCTCAATCCTAAGGTCAGTGTATACCGTAGCTCGAATCAACTGAACTAATGTATATCTCGCAAATTTACAACTTACAACGTTATTTTGTACCGTAGTGGGCAGAAGCAATAGAAAGTATTGATCATGGAGATCCAGGATCAGAGAAGAGCTTTGGCATGAAACAAAGGCCTGATGGTGATATTGAGATAGACGAAAAGTTTTGGGAAGAAGGTTTTCATATACCAGTATGCGAGAAGTGCGAAGGAGTACTAAAACCTGATGTAAGATTGATTATATGGCGTGAGGCTGAACAAAGCTTTGTGGCTCTTTCCTTATCATGGTTTATTTTTTTGAAGGTTATATTCTTCGGAGACAATATCCCGAAGGAAAGAGCTACTCAAGCAATGGAAGCAGCGAAACAGAGCGATGCATTTCTAGTGTTGGGTTCATCTTTGATGACAATGTCCGCTTTTCGTCTTGTCAGGTAATGCGAGAGAATATTCTCTACAGTTTCGAGTTTGCATCTCATTGAGAAGCATCTATCCTTTTGCAGAGCGGCTCATGAGGCTGGTGCGATGACTGCAATTGTAAATATAGGCGAAACCAGAGCTGATGACATTGTTCCTTTGAAAATCAATGCTAGGGTTGGTGAGGTAAACAGTAGTATTCATCTCTTCTCGTTTCTTCATCCTTCTAAAACTTATCATTCTGTGATCGGTTTGGTGCAGATATTACCCAGAGTTCTTGACGTGGGATCGCTCGGTGTCCCAGCTATATAGACACAATGTCCAGATAAGAGATCAATCAATCGAGTGAATATGTAACATTTGAGTTCACCCATCTTGATTCAAATCATCAATGAATACTTCTCTCTTATTGCTATGTATCTCAAGTTGTATTTTTAACTATAAATAAAGGATAATCATTCTTAATGCATATACTTGACTTCCAACCGAAGCTTGTCTGAACCAAAAGAGAGAGAAAGATTCGATAATACAACATCTAAAGTTGAGGCAGCTTACAGTTGCAGAACATGGTGTTCTGTCAAAAGGCTTTAAGCAGATCCACAAAAAAAAAAAACAGTTAAGTAGTCATCTTCTACTAGACTTTACTACCGATTACACATGTGTTAAACCTAAGAAAGATCAGAGAGCGCCTTATCGATATCCCCTGCGTGGTTTCGAAGAGTGTTCCACTGCAATGTATGAAAACGTCAAGTGCAAGACATAAGCAGATAACAACAACAAGTAGACTTGTAGAAATCTTAAAAAATGGGAGAGGGATGTTAATTACCTGATCCACGCTTAGAGAGATACCTGCAACATATAACAAATAGTTGTCGATATCAACACGATTATGTGAACAAAAGAAACTAACAGCTCTAGAGACAGGCTTGGGAAAGAACAAATCTTTGTTAATCACTTTCATGTTAAACAGCTAGCATCAACACTACACTAGTACATAAAACATTCTCAATCTGCAAAACTGCCCATCATAAAACCGTAAGATCTACTGTAACTTCAACGGTTGGATATTTCTCCATCCCAGACTAGGTGCATAAACTTAACAAACCAAAACATAACAAAAAACTAAACTAAACTATAAGACGAGGAAACACATTTTTAGCAATGGTGAAATAGTGAGAACAAGAGGAACACTCACGAGAAAGACGAAGAATTTACCTTTCTTGCCGGGCAAAGTTTTTCCGTCCTTGACATAGAACTCACGAATGTCAATCCAAATCCGCCCGTTCCAATTCCTCACAGAGACTCTCCTATTCTTAGATATCTGAATGTAAACAAAACAAAACAATCATAAACCCTAATTTGAGCACAACCCTAAATTGAGCAAACCCTATTGAACACAATCAGTACTTAATCGAAACCCTAACACTCACTGTTACTATGGTAGATACGAGACTTAAAATGTTACAGAAAGAGAGAGAGAGAGCAGACTAACATTGCAGACGACTATGTCGTCAGACTCGTCGGAGGAGTCGGTTGGCTTTGCGACTTTCTTAGCCGGCGCGTGGGTTTCAGATTCGTCATCTGATGCTCGAACATCCTCGTCTTTTCTTTTCCCTTTCGACGACATTTTTCTCGAGCAAATGACCTGTAAAAACGGTAAAACCCAGAAAGCTCTATTCAGACCAAAGTAAATTCGCACGCACAAAAATCCGAGAAATTAAAAAAAACGAGTAAACGTCAGAGAGACCTGGTCGTGACGCTGAAACGGTAGAGAAAAAGTTCACTTCTTCTAAGAAAGATAAGACTCTTTGAGAAGGTTTTCACAGATTGCTCTCATTCTCTGAAGGAAAGTGAAACGCCATGTCTCTTCTCGCGTATTTAGGAATGCGTTCACCGCTCACGCGCAGATTAATTAGAACAGTTAGATTCAAAACGCAGTTTTTAAAACGCGAGTTTGAGAAAATGGGCGGCCAAACTTAAAAGGCGGAAGCTTTTTAGTTTCCCAACTGGAAAAAGGGAAAGAAAAAAAAGAAAAAAACTAAAAGAGTGGACTTCGTGTAGCTCTTCACGGATCTCCCAATTCTCAAGATTTTATTGTTTTCTTCTTGTTGGATTGGATAAAGTGGATAGATGGGGAATTTGTTCGTGAAGAAACCAAAGATTACGGAGGTTGATCGAGCGATTCTCTCTCTCAAAACCCAAAGGCGCAAGCTTGGTCAATATCAGCAACAGGTTTTTGATATTCTTCCCTCGCTTGCGATCTTTTTACGCGCATTTATAGGGCTTGCTTTTGCTCAAATTGTGTCTACTTCTGGAATCTGAGATTAAAAGGGTGATTGAGTTGTTTGATTCACCAATAGATCATGGAGGGTAAAGGTTTCATTGTTGGAAACTAAACGTGTTCACTTTCCAAGGTTTTGGCTTGTTCAAAGATTGGATTTTCTTCCATTGTTGTCAAATGGGTGAATGAAATTGCCTTCAGAATCCGTCTTGGATCCAAATTTTGGATCTTATGCGATGCTAATGATAGTTTAGTTATGTCATCATCGGTTGTTAATTAGTGAGTTTGCTCGCTGAGAAGTGGAATGCAATTGCAGTTTCTATCTTGTAAACTTAAGATGTACTTTCTTTCTCTTAAACCCTCATTTCTTTTAAACCCTTCGTTTAGCTTGAGAAAGTGATTGAAGCCGAAAAGCAAGCTGCAAGAGACTTAATTCGTGAGAAGCGAAAAGACAGGGCTTTGTTAGCATTGAAGAAGAAACGGACGCAAGAAGAGTTATTGAAGCAAGTAGATCAGTGGGTCATCAATGTCGAACAACAAGTAAATATACTTGATCTCTTCTTATCGTCTCACTGTTTGTATAACCTTATTGCTATATAAATAGAAGTGTTTTTCTTTTCCTACCTGATTTTGTCTTTTGGAAGAAACCTAAACAAAAAATATTTTCACCTGTCGTTATGACTCAGTTGGCAGATATCGAACTTACAAGCAAGCAGAAAGCAGTCTTCGAGAGCTTAAAGCAAGGTAATAGTGCAATTAAGGCGATTCAGAGCGAGGTCAATCTTGATGATGTTCAAAAACTAATGGATGACACTGCCGAGGCCAAGGCTTATCAGGATGTGAGTTAATAAGCGTTGGTGTTCCGTTTTGTCTGCTTATTGCTATAATGCTATAGTCTTTTCTCTCTGCAGAATGTGCATATTAGCCGAGCTTCTCCTAGTTTGTTTCGTTCATGGTCTTGAGTAATCTTTTGCTTTGTCTAACTGTTAAAATACTTGGATTTTAGGAGCTTAGTGCCATATTGGGGGAGAAACTATCTGCAGAAGATGAAGAAGAGATCTTAGCAGAATTCGACAACCTGGAAAACCAGGTATGTAGTTTTCTCTCGTTTCTCGGATAAGAACATTGCTGGATTATGAACATTCTGTCCCTATTGATCTGTCTTCAAGTACCATTTACTCTTTTATGTTAGTGAATGGAGTGAATTTGTGATATATAATGTTTGTTTCTTTGTTTAAAAGCTCATTGCTGAAGATATGCCTGACGTGCCTACACCTGAGCTCGTGCCTGAAGAACCCGAGAAACTGGATCTCCCTGATGTGCCAACAAAACAACCCGTTGCTCCCAATGCAGAAATCGCATCAACAAAGAGAAAAGGTTTTTTTTTTTGTTTTTGGTTCTTTTTTCTCATTTGTGGTACTTGTATAAGTAACAATTGCTGCATACAAAAGAACCCTTAGACTCAGACATGCCTTTGTTGTTGCAGTTCTTGAAGAACCTTTGGAAGCTTGATTCAGAAGAGAAGAATCTGATCCGACTATATATCCCCATAGATATTTAATCATTCTTTGGACACTTTTCCTTCTAGGCTCTTGAAGCTCCATGTGTATTCTTTTCTTACCCTGCAGCTTGTAAAGAACCAAGTCCGTTCTTGGAATCTTCTCTGTGTGAATGGTTTAGTTGTTCGTAAAATCGATTCAGAGTCTTTGACCTGAACGTCTGAAAGTATGCTACAAATGAAATTGTTTCTAAATTCGATTCAGAGTTTTATTGCATTTCTGTCATTAACATATTTTTTCTGTTAAACTAAATTTAATCAAAACTGACAAACTGAAGAATTTTGGATATTGTTAAAGACTAAAGAGTAGTAATTTAATTTGGGACGGCTGAGAAATAGACTACACTATACTGTATTTTATACCAAACCGTATTAAGCTGATGATGATATACATTATACAGTAGATTATAGTTGGTTTTAACTTAATCTAATTAAATTACCAAAAAAGGATAAAAATCCATAAACCAAAAAAACCGGTACGGAAACGAGAGTATAACTGAACACACTGCACAAATCAATCTCTCGGTCTGGGTTTTGCAAGCGCTATATAGGGTTTAAGAGCTATGGCTCTCTAAGCTTCCTTTGGGAATTTTCATCGTTCTTAGGCTACTTTGTCAACGCTTCTGCTAAATTCAGGTACCTGATAGTAAGAATATTAAGAAATGAATTTCATTTTTGTGATTTCTCTCTCCCTGTAGCCATAGATCTCCTAGATGCGTAGAAAAAATGTTTGTGAAAATACCTCAGAGATGGTTTGATTCGAGATTCTACTGCGTTTAATCTCATAGATCTCGCCCCCAATTTTGGTTTCGAGGGTTTTGTGAAAAGTTTATCGATTTCGTCCCTTTCTGGTTGTATTTTCCTCCAAATCCTAAGAAAATGTGGATCCCAAGCGAAATTTCCTTCCCAGACTTCGTCAAACTCTTTGCGATGCCTTTTGATTTTTGGTTTCGAAAGCAATGATTGGATATGAATATTCATGGAATTTCAAATTTCCTAACGTCAATATGCTCTCTTGTCAAATGATATTAGTTTATTTCACTTCATAAACTCAATGTAGATCCTACAATTTGAAGCACTTCATTGCATATTTTCAAGTAAGGAAAGATCCTATAACATGAGCTGTGCTTTTTAATTTCTTGCTAATTATCAGTTTTGTTGAATCAGTTTGTAGTTAAGGAATGAGCTTAGCCTTAATCTTTTCCTTTCTTACCACTTCTCTATGCACGTTATAAGCTCGTCTTGTTGCTTTATATCGGCTGTTTTTTTTTTGCTTTGTTTGGCTTCAGGTTTAGTCAGAAGCTGATTTGTGATTTGAGATGGCGACAGAGCAGAGCGGATTAGAAGATCAGGAGAGCCAACCAAACCAAGTGGCTCCTGGTTTTGTAGGAGCAATTGAAGAACAATACAAGAAACTCAGAGATCACGCCGAAGCTTATCCATATGTTTGGGGTTCTTATACTGTTGTCTACGGAGGTCTTTTCCTTTGGACAGCTTATAGATGGAGGAAGCTGAGGAGAACCGAGGACCGTGTTCGTGGTCTTCAGGCAAAACTTAGGAAACTCGTCGAAGATGAACAAGCAGCAGTAACTGCCTCTAAATCTGCTCAATCAGTGGACAAGTCTTCTTCAGTTTCCGACAAGACAATGCCTTAATTTATAGTAGTTTATAATCAAAACCATTGTCTCTGTTAGACTTATGACGAGGTTAGTTTCTTCCAACCGAATCGATATTCCTGGGGTTACTCTGTTTTGTTACAATGCTTTTTGTTATTTACCCGCAAAGAGTTTTATACAAAGTCAAATTCATGTACATGACTGAAGAAGAGAAAACGCTGAAAAGTCATTTAAGCTTTGTCGTTCTAGCTGACTGAGACTCCAACAAGTTAATGCCGTAAGCCCTGATTATTAGTTTGCATTTGCATTTCTATGTTATAATAGCTTTGATCTTTCTCTTTGTTAGTTTCTTTTTTCTAACCGAATCACCATCACCAGGTTTAACTTTGTGCTGTTTAACTATAAACTTTTATGTATACTGTATATCATTTTTAAACAGAGTACATATACACTTTGATGTACATGAATGAAAAAGGGCAAGAAAACGCAGAGATGTTAAAACTCTAAAAGGTCATGTTAAGCGTTGTTGTTGTTGTTCTAACAGATGGAGTTTCTGGTGCACTGTAACGCTCCAGCTGAAGAAGTGAGTTCTTTAACGGTTTTAGCGTTCGCTACTGTGAACCTTTGAGATGGTCCGTAATTGGGCCGGGCTTTTCCAACACCTTTGTGTAGGCCGAAACAAGCTCCATTCTCGAAATAATCATTCACCGAGTAGAATTTCCATTGCATTTGATCTCCTTGGCTATGTTTCTTCCAAGTTATCTACAATTAATTACAACAGATTCGAATGTTTAGATTAGATGAGAAGAAATTTTCGTTAGCAATTCAGGTTTCGCGATTACGATTATGAAACGCACCTCTTTGCTTCCGGATTTTGGTGCGACGAAATAGTTTGATTCGCTCTTCACACGAGGGCTCATGCTTCCTCCAATTGCGTATTGAGTCCATCCTTGGTAATAGTTATTTGCGACATGAGCATATCCATGTCGCACTCTGCACAATTCACATAGACCGTCAATAGAAATCAATTCGCAAAAAAATAGTTTGGACTTATTATTATTGGGATCCTCCGTTGATAAAAATAAATATACCTTGGCATTCTCTGGTTGCAATTAGGACCAAAGTGGTTAAACACAACAGTGACTCTCATGTCTTTGTCTCTTACATAGCCATCATCATGTCCAAGAAGCATGACCTTGTCCTGGTTCCTAAACCAATTGTTGGACACTGTGACGTCAGTACTCCCTCTTGTGACGTCTAATAGACCGTCTTCGCAATCATAGAGCGTGTTGTGGTCGATCCACACTTTCTTAGCCGTGACCAGCCTGATTGCGTCGCCGTCCACTTGTCCAAGTGGAATGATCTTTGAGTCCGGTCCCATAACTGAGCTTGGTTTATGAGCTTTACAATCATGGATCTTAAGTCCATGAATGATCACATCCGTGGCTTTGTAGACTATGAGACAACCGGGACCCTTGATGTGAGCGCTCACACCGCGACCATCGAGCGTCGTGAAGCTGCTGATTAGTAGCGGTTTATGAAGTTTGATCTTCATGTTTCTTTTGAATGTGATCCATTTCTTTCCTTTGATGAGCGTTGCTCCGTATCTAAGGGTTCCTGGTTTAGGGCTTAAAGGATCATCAGATGGGTCGGTTACTTTGTATTGTGTGACTCCTTTACCGATATTTCCTGTCATTTTTCCAGCAAATCCGACCGAGCACCGAGCCAGCTGATTTCGGCTTCTACGCCAATGCGGGTTTGGTCTCCAGCATTTGTCCATTACATTCAGTTCCGTGGCCTCCAAGACATTTGCCACAAACAAAACGATGAGGAGTTGGACTAACGCGATGTTCAAGAACGCAACCATGATTCTTGCTTGGTTCGAGATGTGAATCAAGATTCAAGAAGAATGTTGAGGTTAATGATTACAAGCTATGTTGTTTTGAATTTATGTGATCTAGAGATGGAGTTTATATATGTGAGAGATTGAGTTTGTTTCTTTTTAACCAAAATCAAGTTAGTTTTTTGTTTCTATTTAGTGTGAGTTCATGAAGAACTAGAGAATTTGTAAGTTGTAACAACTTGGAGCAACCTTCTAAAAGTAAAAACGAAATAGTACAACTATATTTTTTTGGTTTACTATATTTAGTATTGAAATGATAAGTTTTGTGATTTGCACTGAAGCTAATTCGATTCCTAAAATATATATTCGGTTATTTTTGCATAATATTCGCACACAGCAATAGTTCTTACAGCTGTTGACAAAGGAAAAAAGTTTAGTTGGTTTGTCTATCCATAACAAGTGTGGTTTTTTATTTAAATATTCGTCTTGTCTTCTAACGAATATGTTGCAACTTCCACGAAACTCGAATATATAACAATGACTAAATATTAGAAATATATACAGGATAGTATGTGTAAGGTACATGTATATAAACACATAACTAAAAGTTGAAGCTCTTCTTCTTTAATTGTTCTTCTTTCGATGTCTTACGAGAAGGAGCTTGCAGCTGCTAAGAAAGCCGTCTCTCTTGCTGTTCGTCTCAGCCAGGTACTAAAGTAACCAACTCTTTTCTCACCACTTCATCAGTCTATATTTTCATTACAAATTAAGATTGATTAATGACAGATTATTTATATCTGTGGGTTGATCAGGAAGTGCAGAAGTCTTTGTTGCAATCAGACGTCCGGACAAAACCTGATAAGAGTCCGGTTACAGCTGCAGATTATGGTCAAGAAAAATCCACAATTCTGTTGTGAATCGGTTTTGATTGGTCAAATCAAACCAGTCGTAGTTGACCAAGCCTAATGATAAATGCAGGATCTCAAGCTGTGATCAGTCTTGTGTTGCAGAGAGAACTTCACCCTGAACCACTATACTTGGTTGCTGAGGAGGTAAGCAAAACTCATAGACAGTCTCTTAATTATAAGACATCGAATCACACGAAACCAAAGTCTAAATCTTTCTCTGTTATGTTTTGCAGAATACAGAAGACCTGCAAAAGGATGGCTCTGAGGCATTTTTAGAAAGCATCACTAAGCTTGTGAACAATGCTCTAGCTTCTGATGAGTCCTACGCCGCCGTTCCTCTTTCAATGGAAGATGTGCGGAAAGCGATAGACCACGGGAGGTCACAAGGCGGTTCCAATGGCCACCACTGGATTCTTGATCCTATCGATGGCACAAGAGGGTGAGAAGTCTTGAAACTCAATATAGAAAAAATCTTCTCTTTTTTGGGGTCAATGTTGAAAATTCTCATTTTTATAGATTTGTAAAAGGAGAGCATTACGCCGTGGCATTGTCCTTGCTTGTGGAAGGAAAATTAATGCTTGGTGTCATGGGTTGCCCGAATCTTGAGAATCACAGGTTTTCTTCTTCTTCTTCTTCTTCTTCTTCTTCTTCTTCTTCTTCTTCAGATAAAGTTGGCTGCCTTTTCTTTGCAACAGCAGGAGAAGGAGCTTATGTGCAATCGCTTGAAGGCGACTCTCCTGCACAGAAGGTATATTATCAGCATTTTACTGTTCCTTAGGGCTGCTTCATTTCTCCTTTTGGGTGTCTTTAAAGAAAGTTTGATAACAGGTGCAAGTGAGCAACATTGAGAATCCTGAAGAAGCAACTTTTGTCGAATCATCTCATAAACCAATCCCCATCCACACCTCTATTGCCAATGTATAACATTTTCTGTTTCAATTTAGTTTGCTTCGAGCCGATCCAAACAAATATATTATTATTTTTCGCTAAACTTACTCTCTTACGGTAAGCAGAAACTTGGGATCAAAGCATTACCTCTAAGAATCCATAGTCAGGTAAAGTACGCAGCTCTAGCTCGAGGAGACGCAGAGATATACTTGCGTTTCACTCTCAAGGGTTACCGTGAGACCATATGGAACCATGCTGCTGGTGCAATCATCACCACAGGTATGCACTGCATAAGAACTTTTGCTCTAAAGCACATTACACCGCAAAGTTATAACAGATTGAGACGCAACCTTTGTACACGTGCAATTTGAAGTTCACCAAGTATTGCTGCTTTGGAATATATATAAGAATATAGATTCAATTCCTGTCGGATGCAACAACTTTCATTAATATAACCGGAAGTACATTAAAAAAAAAAAGTCCTATGAACAAACTGATGTGAGTAATAACCTTGTGCAGAAGCTGGAGGCGTAGTTTGCGATGCGGATGGGAATCCCCCTGCCTTCTCGAGAGGAAAGCATCTTTATCTCAAAAGAGGGATCGTGGTTAGCACCAAGAAGCTCATGCCACGGCTCTTGAAGGCCATCAAAGAATCAATGGAAGAGGAGATGCAGGAAGATGAGATGCACATCTCTGCCTCTGAGACACAACTGACACTGTAATATATGTACTGTATGAAATGGTAACTAGTCTACATCACACATTACTACCAGATTCTGAAGAAGTCTGTGCTCTATCAAAGAAGTTGTATGTTTTTGAATAATGAAAGTTTCGCAAAGTAGATTATCTTTTACATTTTATTACACACAGCATCTGATAAGAGTGTCTATCTAAAGAGGAACATCTGATGGGTAATCTTGTGGGTGACTTTTGATCGTCTGCCTCACCAGAAGTTCCTGTTCCCTGAGGTTAGAAGGAGGAACATCGTAAACATCTGAGAACATTTCCTTCAGATTCGGCTTTTCGGACTTCTCTGCAACCCGGAGAGCTTCTAACATCTGTTTACAAGGAACAAAAAGGATCGCATGAATCAGCATATATAAACCCAAAGTCAAGGTTTTTATACAATGCATGAATCAGCATATAAAATGCTCAAGAAAGAGGTTTTTTTTTTGTTACCTCTTTCTTGATTCTGCATCTTAGATCCGATTCCGCTTCATCCCTCCACCAGCCATTACTTTCAATCCATGTCCTAAACCTAGACAGCGGGTTTCTTGCTTTGCTCCACCACTCTATCTCATCTGCAGAGCGGTACCTAGTGGAATCATCTGACGTTGAATGGTGTCCTACGCGGTACGTTAAAGCCTAATACGGAAAAAAAATAAAGAATTTGAAGTTGTTTGTGTTTTGGGGTTGCATCTTAATTATATCAACATCAAAGTTACCTCGATCAAGATTGGCCTCTGTTCTCTAATTGCCATTTCGCGAGCTTCACACAATGCACTGTACATAGCAAGTGCATCATTTCCATCAACACGTATACTTCGAATTCCATAAGCACGGCCTTTCACCACTACACCATCACCTGTTGGCCATTGTGTTTGCAAAAGTATTGTAAAATCCAAAAGACTTTAAGAAAGACGAATCCAAATGAAAGTAAATCATCCAAAGGAAAAGAAATGGAGTTACTTCGGAACTGATCTGAGGTGGGAGTACTGATTGCCCAACCATTGTTCCGGCAGATAAATAAAACAGGTGCTTCCATAACTGCTGCAAAATTCAAAGCACCATGGAAATCTCCCTAGAAAAAAAAAAAAAAACATTATTTGATTATCCACCTCCGAGTTTTCAGAAAGGCTCAAGCCAAGTTTTTTTTTTATTTCACCTCACTCGAGCCACCATCGCCAAAAAATGTGACTGCACATGCATCCTTCCTGTCCATCTTTAAGGAATAAGCAGCACCAACCGCGTTTGGTAACTGTGTACTGCAGGAACATGAAAGAGAAATTATAAGAATATAGATCAGTTGAGTAAGAAGAATGTGATGTCAAAGCTATACGCGATTGTTGCAGAAACGGTAAAATAGTTGAGCTTATTAGAGCCGTAGTGGACTGGCATCTGCCTGCCTTTTCCATTATCAGATTTGTTCCCGAAACACTGGTTTGCAAATTCTTGAAGGGTGAAACCACGCCATAGCAGAACACCAGGCTCTCTGTACTGCAGATACAACAAAAGACGCCCAAATTATCAATCCTCATCTGTTTCATTAACTAAAATGTTATCCTTCGAAATGGTAAATGACTGTGTATTTATCATATAAGAGTGATCCAAAACCTGAGGAAAGATAACATCTTCAGGAGTGAGAGCTGCAGCTGATGCAATATTAATGGCTTCTTCCCCGATTGTGGTGGCGTAAAAGGAGAGTCTCCCTTGTCTTTGAGCTTCGTAAAATATGTTATCCATTATTTGAAGAGTAACCATATCGCTATATATCTTCACCGCTACTTCCTCGCTAACCTATAGACCGAGGATTAAGAAAAAAGACCTTATTCAATTTAAAGAACGTATATAGAATTCACAAAAGTAGGGAACTGATTCTTTTATCTTTTGACTGTCTACCTGAACAAACTGGCTGTTGGTGATTAGTTGGCCATTGTCATCAAGAACACGGTAGCAAGGTACACGCTCTTTATTGGATTCTGATATGAATTGAATCTCAGGTGTGAAAGCTATCCTTCCTCCAGGAAAATCCATGACCTGCACTTTGAGAATAAATGGAAAATGTAAACACAACAAGAAATCTGAAGTTTCCACAGACATTATTAAAAAGAAAACCAGAAAACTAGTAAATCTCTGTGATCTATCAATCATGTGTTCTAATTCATAAGTTGAGTCTTCAGCAACAGAAATATAGTTATCAATGAAAAGTTATAAAAAAAAAAAAAAAGCGACTAAATTCAGGGGAAAAGTGTATTAGGAAACGATCTAGTGGACCCGGAATAATAAAAAGTAGTAGATTCCATATGAGTGATTAAACAGTAGCTATGAACTTTCACTCAAACAACCTAGAGAGTATCGAAGTCATCGAATAATCTCTGCGTAAGACACTGAGCAACTTTTTATAATCTAAACGAGTAATCGGAATCGGTAACAATGAATGAATGCACCTGATTATTGACGTCTTCGTGAAAACCAATACCCGAGAGCTTCTCTGCCATGGTGTTACACAAACGACTAATTGGATTCTGTGATACTCCAATACTCGGAGGACCATGCGGTAGGTTTTGGCGGAGATGACGAGCCCCGTGGCTCGGAGAAACGAAACCGAGCTTATGTTTCAGAATGTTTAGGAAAGCCGATTTCGATGAAGAAGATTTCAAATGCTGAGCCATTTCGAAGAAATTTTTTGTGTTGTGTCTGTAGAGAAAGAGAGAGAGAGACAAAAGGGGTTGGTGTAGAGTGTACTTGTCGAGAGTGTTTCCCTTACACATTTGATTCCTTAATTTCTAAAGTGGAATCTTTGGGAACCGCGATCACGGCCATTGTCAAACGCTAACGCACAAACTGAGATCGTGCTTCGTGACCGCGTGTCTCCAAAGAAGACTCAACGATGCAAGACAAATGTGGGCCAGAATATTAAATAACTAAGCCCATTAGTTTACTATTCAATGGCCCACTAAGTAAACTGACTGACCAAACTTATTTTGGTTTACAGTTAGCTTAACATTTATCAGAACACCAGTCATAATGAAACTAGAGAAGCTTCGCGGATACAACAAGCGAGAACTATTTTCTTCATAGAACGTTGAAATATCCAAAGGCAGCTTATATTCACAACATGGATTTCCTCAATTTTCATTAAACAAGTTATTGTCGCATACGAAAACATAGGAAGGGAATGGACAAAGTAACAATGAGAGATCTCCCCGTTTCTATATGCCAAAGATAAACGAGAGAGAGAGAGAGAGAGAGAGACCGGTGAGAGCTAAGCCAGGCCAGACAAGCCGAGACGATCAGCAACATTGTACATAACGAGCTTATCCCATACAGGGCCAAAAAGTTGTTCTCCTCCTATCGAGAATGTCAATGCCCACGCTGTAAGAAGAGCTGTGAAGACACTGAAGCCAATTGCTGACCTAACAACATCTACAACAGCACAAGATTTCAAAGGTGTGAGAGAGGAGATTGTACATCTTTCATATCTGATAAAAAAATAAACAAGACAAAGAGATACAATAGTCTGAATCAACTTAAATCAGAAGTAAGGACATAACTCAAAACAAGAATGGTCATCATTTCGTTTCTGAATCAACATTACGGCAATAGTAATTTAAAGCCCGTCTCGACCAGAGACATAAATTTACCAAACGTATAATAGTGTCTCACAGATCAAATAACGATGCACTGTTGAATAACCTCATTAGCCACTCGATTATCAGTCACTCTCCATTAACCTACTATATCTTTAAAATAAGAAAGCTAAGCCAAAAAAAAAACTTCTGCTTTCAAGAAAAAACTTCTGCTTTTAATAAATCCAATGGGCATCTACACTAAATATCAAGAATGGCTCAGTTGGTCATAAAATCTAGACTTAAGTAGGCCAATATCAAATGCTTGGACAATCAACCTTAAAACTCCAATGGACTTATCATGTATCCGTGCGTACAAGGTAGTTTGAGTATAAAACTCGCAATTCAATAACTACAAGGCTGAATACTAGCAAATCAATAGCAATCACAATACAATACTGATCAATAAAGATCAGCAAGATTGTACGATTTCAGACGATTCAGATTCCAGATCAAAAGATCCTAATATAAGATGGAGGATAAACCCAATATCACGGGATAGGAAAGATCGGAAGCAAGAAAAAAAAAAAACAAAATCGAAAAGTAATCTGTAAATAATCTAAAAAACTTACAACTACGGGTTTGAGGGAAAGCCCGAGAGTGACGGAGAACAGGCCAGAAGTAGAAGCAATTGACAGCCCAGAGCCACGGCAAGAGAACGAAACCGAACTTGTAGAATCGACGAGCGTAATCCACCGATGCTTCCTCCGTTAAGCCCAACGGGCCATCGATGGTTGGCCAAACCTGCGCGGAAGAGATTATAGAAGACAACGGGTTCGGCATTGGATTACGATTTGAACTCTGATTGTTGTTAGGGCTCAGATTGGGGTCGTCGCTCCGTGAAGCCTCCATTTCTTTGTTCAGCCACTCACGAGACAGGCAAAAAAACTCGGGACGAATAAAGAAGGTGAAACCATTTCTTTAGTTGAACACCTTCAAGCAACGACGTCGTTTTGGGTTGGGTACATACTCCTCACTTTTTTTTTCTTTTAATGTAATGTACAGTAACTTGTATCTGGATCTTTGATCTCAAAAAGTGAAGACTAATCACAAAATCCACAATCTTCAAAGAAATTCCACAATACTTCAATCACTTTTGATATTCCAAGCAAACTATTTGAACACTCAAAATGTAACTTTTAACATCAGCAAGTAGTTATGGACTTGAGAAGCTGTTAGTGGTTTCCATAGACTTGACACTTAGTGACTTGGAACAGATTCAAGTTACTATTATCGGCAACTTTTTCCTATCTTACAACTTACAAGACTACATGAGATTGTTTGGCTAGCGTTGGATACACAAGAATCAACGCATCATACCAAACAGCCCCGCGGCTAAATAGACCAGATAGAAAATGGGTCTACTTTGGAGAGATTACTAGTATACGGTATGATCCTTCAAGCTACTAAGCGCCAATCTCTGACCTTTTTTTGCTCCATTGCTAGATCAACACACCAGTCCCACTAGAGATTTCTTCATTTTCTTCAGTAAAATCGAGTGATTCGCCATAATACTCATGAGCATCTTGCCTTACAATAGCCGATAAACCCATTTCGCCATTGGACTCAAGACCTTGGACTAGGATTCTAAAGGAGGATCTATCAGGCTCATACCCTATTGATTGCATAAAGGCGTAGCAGTCCATGACAAGATCAAACAGCTTATGATTCAGAAGAATCACCAAGAGAGTGTTGAAGCCTTCAATGTCACCCATTAAACTATTTTCTGATTTCATAGCGGAGTAGAGATAATTCACCTCTTCGAGCAGGCTATTATCCGCCATTACCGTGATCAAATCTGCGTACAATCTCACCTGAGGCTTGTACCAATACTCCTTTCGAATCTCTTCGAATACCTAAAAACGATCCCATAAATTGAGATTGAACACAAAACACATTCAAAACATGATGGAGAATCGGAGGGGGAGATAGAGAGACACAGAGAGGGAGACGAACCTTGAGAGCTAGAGAGCACTCGTTCTGGCGTAGGAGTTCCCTGAGAACGGCGACCATATCGAATTTCAAGAGGCGACGGAATTTGGAAACGATTACACGATCAAGCATCACAGAGGAAGATGGAGACGTGGAAGAAGGAGGAGGAGGAGGCTGAGGATTGGCTCGCTTCAGGGCTTGAACCGCTTGAATCGCTTCGATACTGAGCATCCGGCCTCTCTGCAATGGTTTCCTGTTCTTGCTACGGTCTCTCATCTTTATCTCCATAGCTCGCCGGAGGATCGGAAAACGGCCGCAGACTCCACGTCGTATCACAAATCCAAGACGAAGAATCTCCTCTCCGCAACTTCGCAGTCCTAATCCTTCCATGTTCGCCGTTAGGCTCTGTCTCCGTCTCCTCTGTGGTGTGACGAAAATAGTAGAAAATGACAATGGCTAAAAATTACCATTACTACTATAATACTCTTTTAGCTTATCTTGATTCCATTTCATGTGTCGTGAAGATGGACCCTAAACCGGTTGTCTAATTTCTCAGATAAAACCGGTTTGTTTTCAACGTGTCGGATTAAATGTCTGATAACAGTGGAACTTGAAAAAAAAAAACAATCACAACACATGTCCGAGACAGTGTCAACTAAACAAGGACTAATCCAATACAAGAGAGTCAGGCTCATCACCGTGATGAGTCATTCTGATCTTCTGCAATTAAACGTTGAGAATCAACCTCTTCATCCTCTGCCGGTTTAAAACTAGAATTGTCACCCTCTCTCTCTGCACTTTGCTTCTTCAAATCACTGACTTCGGTATCTGCTTCTTCTTTAACCTTGGATTCAAGTTCTTCAACACTTCCTTGTACAAAAGTTTCTCCGTATTCTTCTAGTTTTACATCCGAAAGTTTATGAACATTGTCTCCCTCACCTTGTAGAGCTCGGAACAAGTCATCGACACTCGTGTCAGTTTCACTTTTCGTTTGAACCTCTGAAGACAATGTTGTGTGATCCTCAGATTCCTTATTAGACGCTTGCAAGGCTGAATTGAAAGGAGCTAAATATGTTGCATCACCGAAGCCTCTGGAGAGGCAAACATATTTGAAAACGAGCCGTTTATAATGATTTAACAAGCCTTCAACATCTCCTATCCTTAAATCACCAGCACTGGCAAATATGTACGGATAATCTTTGAAGATTTTGCTTGCCTCGCTGCTATCATTCAAAAGTGTGGCGGCACCCTTATTTTCCAAATCCGAAACAGATTCAGGTTTCTTTATTGGTAGTTCACTGTTCTGATTCAGTGTTTCATTGGTCCCAGAAAGACTATCAGATGACTCTGATTGCAGAAGCGTGTTTTCCCTCTTAGTATTATGAGCAGTCGGCTCATCACTAAGGGATGATGCAGTACCATGATCAGTTTGATAAGAGTAGGTTTTCAGACCAGAAAGTCGTGCCCGTGCAGATTCCATTTTCTTTTCAAAGTCAGCTTCATCCATCGAAAGGGATTTTGCGTCAATATTTGAGATGAAAGACTCGGCAGAGAGTAAGTTTGTGAAAAAGTAGGCAGCTTCACCAACCAGTTTAGACTGACGCCTATATCTTTGTATATACATCAAGTTTGAGTGAAATTGTGGAGGGTTAGCCTGGAACAAAGTACACATAATGATCATTAGCAAATGTAGTTGCTTCATACAAACTTAAGAGTATAACATACACATACGACATGAGAAACCAGCATGCGTAAAATTGTTCAACCCTTGACATACCTTAATGGTAACATATATGAGAACAGGGAGAAATTCGTCCGCTCCAGGTGCATTCTCCTTTGAAGCAATCGAAGCATTTAGCAGTAAGTTATTGATCACTTTGCAGCAGCTAAGGATACACATAAGCTTATCACGTGGAGCTTTGAACATATTTATCTTCTGGAGCTCTTTTTGAGCTAGCTGCCAAAAAGGAGAGAAAAGATCACACAAGTAAGAACCATCGCTACAGTAACAAAAAAAGGGCTACACTATCGAGAGCTAGATAAGTTTACCAGCCATGATGTTTCGTTTTGAAAAGTTGGTTGTATATCCAAGTTTTCAGGAGAAATGAATTGTTGAACCAGTGACATCTTCTGAAAGAGTTTCTCATCAGATATAACGTCGTCGGTGTTTGATGCAAATACCCGCGTAAATAACTTTGTCATGACATACTTCTCTAGTCCCTGTTTATACAAAGGGAGCAAAGATTAAGGTAGGAAAGACAGAAAAACTAGAAATCGGAAAGGTAAGAAGAATAGTGATATACTCACATCTCCAGCACTGTCCAACTCTTCCTCAGAACAACCGGACCAAATTGGATGAGCCCTGAAAGCAGCCTCCATCTTGGAAAAGAACTCCTGAACTGCATCACAGTCTTTTTCTGGGTCTGGCGCATTGTTCGAGAATGAAACAATGAAACTGCAAATTATAATAAACTTGCAGAACTTAGAAACCATACACGATAAACAGAAATTTCAGAGACCAACAATGATATATGATAGACTATGGAAGTTCAGTGGAATAAGATCAAAGCTCTACATATTGCCATCACAAGAAATCTGCTTTTCGTTTCTAGCGAATCACCTAAACTTTACAGCAGATCATCGAGCTAGCAAGAAAACGTCATCGTATCAAATCCAACATATATTTCATTCGGAGACACTAATAATAATAAGAGGGAGCTCTCAAATCACTAAGAATGTTGCTCCCATGTATTATCGAGCGCAAATAGAACTGCAAACACCAACACTATACACATCCCCTTCAGCTAAAGAGAGAGATAGGGAACCTTTTAATGGATTTGACGAAATCGCCGGCTGAGGGTTTACGCATCCGCTCCAGAAAATCATGCAGCCCGGGGAAGACGTCTGTGTTCTCCATCGACGACGATTATTGGCCACCACATTCCATACGATCGACGTCAATCAAACTTAAATCTCCGAACGAGAAAATGGGAAGGAGAGAATTGGTCCCTGTATCCTCAAGGTTGAGAGAAGAGACCTCAAATCGGAAATTCAGAAGCTGTTGGTATGCTTCTGATTCCGAGACCAGTGATGCAGTGGAGAAGAAAAGCAATAAGCAAAATATTGGGCCTCGATTACGAACAAAGCCCAAACGTATCTCGGTAATTTAGAATGGAAAAAAAGCTAAAAAATACGTAACTTATTTAATATTTGTTAAGAAAACTACACAATTTTTAAAGTTTCCTGCCTTGCGATTAAATGAATTTTTTCATTAAGAGTTGGAAAAAAAAAAAAAAACTGACAATCATAATTTATAATTTATACTTTTAATGATGTAAATTTAAAACCATAACCATAAGTAAATTTGAGATATTAGAATACAAAATAAGTTTAGATAAAAATAGATAATATATCAAGGTTTGATGTTTTAAAAAAAAAAAAGGATAATAGAGAGCTATTTCTATAAAATTTCGAAACATTACAAACAAAAGGAAAACTGGGTGTTAGACCAAGGGTGGTCGCCCTACTCGCCATGGGTTAGAGCCGGGACTGTTCGAGTCACTGGCATTCCCAATTTGAGGTGTTGATAATGGAGCAATGAGATCCTGTAGCTCTATGTAGAACTCCGAGTTTTCAACTAGGTCGTAAGAGGGTGTACTTGGCACGCCGTTGTAATGCATATTGCTCAAGTCTGGCAGTTCACTGAATATGCCTTCTCCTACTTCTACGCAAACGGGAGCTGAAACACCTGGATCATGTCTTACCTGCAAAATGATAAACTATGAGCTTATACAGACCACAAGCATTTATACAAATTGATATAAGATAAAGAAGGTAGAAAAGAAACTGTATTTAATTCAATAGGTACTAAGCTGGCTCACTAGACTAAAAAAGGAAAGAATGCCAAAAATCAACCTCGTTGTTGTTTGGCTCACTGAAACGCAAGTACTCATCCTCATCAACAAAGAGATCCAACATTGAATATATGTCATCATCGTTGTTGGGAGCCTGAAGGGTTTGTTCCAGAGATGCAGTGCTATTAAAATCAAAAAGTGGCGCAGCAGACATAGGAGTGTTAGCTGCATCATTCGGATGTGGAACCTCGCAGGTAGTAGTAGTAGTTGTAGCAGGTAGGAAATCAGAAACGCAAGATTCTGATATCATGCCACCAAAACAATCCTTATTAGCGTCATGAGAGGATCCCACAACCAGACAGGTTTCATTGTTAGGCACATCAAGGTTTGCGGGATTGTTGATAGCAGGAACATCAGTATGTTGTTCCTCATCACTCCAGTCCTCTTCCTTAAACGGAGCTCCATATTGAGCTCCATTCCTAGGTCCCGGTCCATCCTTCTTGAATAGAACACACAGGACATATGTATCCTGCAGCACAAAATATAGTAAATCAACAAAGAATGAATGATATATGCTTACATGACATGGATGAAAAATAACTAATTATCAAATTTAAACAAGTAGGAAACTATATATAAGTGGAAGAAAGGAGAAGTTGCGGGCAAGATAAATCAGTCACAATGTTTGAAGAAAACAAGAACAGCCACGCATTAACTCAAACACAGTATCAGAGCAAGAACGAAAACAGCAATAAGGTATCATTAGGTACTAAGGCGTAAATTTGAAATCGTAAAGCCATTTTAAATTAGTATATTACCTGAGGGACATTCTTCTGTGTCAGTACCTTGTCCTCGAGCCTGTATTCATGCATAACCCAATCAGTCCGCTCACCACGAGGGGACTTACCAAAGTGATAAACCAGAGTTTTGATCTTTCCCACAACTTCAGCATTGCACAGAACGGGTCTCTCCTTCCCGGTGGTCTTCCAGTAACCACACTCAGTCGCTCGGTTGGCCCTAACTCCAGTTGCATATTTCTTTTCTCTCGGGCAGAAGAAGTGCCACTTGAGATCCCCACTTCTTATGTAGGACTTATCTGTTAAGAGAAAAAGTCATAAGTTCGAGAAATTGAACAGACATCCGAAAACATGAAAATCTTCGTAACAGAAGAGCAAGAGGGTTTTTAGATAGGATACCAGGTAAATCGGAGGGTTCAAACTTGTAAATGTCAAGTTCAGCAATTGCATCGACGAGGAGCTTTTTCCCCATCACTTTCCTCTTCAAGTAATATCTCACGAGTTCAACATCAGTCGGATGAAACCGAAATCCAGGAGCAAGCTGAGTTTTCCCCATTGGCTGATCCAAAGGGGAAAACTTGCACTCTCCTCGGGAAACTCCTCACCAGTATGTAAAGTGGGAGTTTTTTTGCAGAAAGGTCACGTCACAGTAACAGGAACAGCAGAAGCGAATACTTTCTAATCAAAATCAAGTAGAAAAGTTGCAGAGAAGCCAGGAAAAGAAGAGAAGAAAAGAGAAAGAAAAAGAGCACTAGACGAGGTGAGAGAACGTCTAAGTCCAGTGCCTGAACAAGATTATCTGAAAGCACCACAACCTCCCCCTGCTCATATAACCGCAGTCGCACCAAAGGAAAGATGGATTCTTCTTGCAGAGATCAACAGACATCTGGTGTGAAACGTAAAGCCTGCTATTTAGACATTGCAACACACACAAAAAAAAAAAAATTGAACTACACGACCAACTAGAAAGGAAAACACACAGCAGATGTCAAAGGACAAATCATCAATCTGGTATCAAATAAACGAGCAAAACCCAGAAAGAGTAAAACCCTAATAATGAATCCAGATTCAGATCATGTCCAGAAATCACAAGAATAAGATCAAAAGAGACAGCAACTCAGTTTCAGGACTCAGAAGGGAAAACGCAAACCGATGACAGCATCGGGAAAATCAGAGCGGAAACACAAAAATCAGTATCGAAAACGCGGCGGAACAGACCAGAAACAGGGTAGGAATTTCGTACCCGGAGAGAGGAAAAAAACTCGAAGGTGGAGATGACGATCGGCGGAAGGGGAGGCGAGCGAGAGAGAGAGAGAGCGATTAGAGAGTGGCGTGAAAGAAAAGCCAGAACTGAGAAAAGGGTTATTATTGTCTTATGGGTTTATATATTACGGAGCTCCAGACCCTATGCGTTTACTAATAAGATACGTATGGGCCCATTTTAATCGAAGCCCTACAATAGTGTAATTTTTTTTTTTCTTACTCCTTTTAATGTTAGAATTTTTTTTTTTCAGCTAATCTTACCTGATTCACAATTTTTCTCTGAACTGGTACAAAAAGATTTTATATTCTTGAAATTTAGTTTAGAATGAAACGTTAGAAGATAAAAAATACATTCGTTAACCATTTTTGAACCTTGAAATTATTAAATTCGATAATCTTTAATCATTTTTGAACACCAATCATTGGAATGCTAATATGCTATACAATGGGGACAAAAATCATTTTATTGAAATTATTAAATTTGCCATAAAACTAAACATCAATCATCATTATACAAAAAAATGTATATAACATAAACGGTAAAAATAAACTAATACACCAATCAAAACTGAGGTTATTAGCTAACAAGAAGGTAGATCAGGAGGAGGCTTGACCAGTCGAGATAAATTCGTCGGTCCATCTTTCACTATGAACACTGCGTTCATTCCCCATGTTACATGTCTCTCTATATGACAATGCAATAGCCAAACCCCTATATACAACCATTTATAACAAAATTTGCTTTTTAGCCAATGAAAAAAAAAATAATTTTGTTAATTTTACGTTGAGAAAAGTAATTAACGAAATGTAAAGTATGCACTAACCTGGATTACTAGCTATGAATCTGACGGCGGTCCAGCCGTTACGGGGAACTCCGACGGTGGTCTCCTCCGGTGGATCTACTAGGTTATACCTTAATGGATCTTTCTCGCGATCAAAATTCCCAAAACCCGAACCCACGACATAGAAGCTATAACCATGGAAATGGATCGGATGATTATCAGAAGCCAACACGTTCGTCCCCTGCAAAACCAGCTCGACGCTTGAATTGAAATCGAGAACCACCACTTTCGTTCCGAACCTCGTCGGAAACGGAAGATTCTCTCCGGTGTAATTGAATTTCGTCGGCGGGTTTCTCGGGAAATCCTCCTGGAAAACGCCTCTGATTCGGCGATAATAGGCTTGGAGAATGTCGATCGACGGGTTTACGAAGCTGATGTTGTTAACGCTCGACGAGAATCTCTTCCCGAAAGGGCCGTTACATGGTTTATCGTCGGAGCAATTGAGCAAATTCATGGAGATCGCATAAAGAAGATGAGTGTCGACTTTAAGCGGGACGTTACCGGATCGAAGGCTTTTAAATTGGGTAGTGAACCGAGTGGCTGCTTCTGTATGATTGTAAGAAGGCAAATCGGGTAAAACCGGTGGATTTTGGTTTAATTCATCGGTTAAGGAAACACCTTCGTATTGTAAGATGGCTGTAGTGATGGTTTTGTCAAATCCGGCACCAAAGGCGGAGGAGTAAGCTCGAGCCGCCAAGAAATAACGACCCGACCGCTGATTCGCGTGGAGGAGGACGTCAATGGATTGGCCTGGAGTGATCATCAGGTAACTAGTATTGAAATGTTTTAAATAGAGACCGTCTTTGGCCACAACGGTTAAGGTGTGGTTTGCAATTGCAAAGAAGAGTTCTTCGTCCATCACCGCGTTGATAATTCGGAGAAGGTACTGGAGACCTGGCACCACCGTTATTGTGAATGTATCTGTTTCAAAATTACAAAATCAATAATCTGAATATGTTAGTGTAAAAAATTATAAAGGATTTTGAGCTTGTGTTGGAAAATTGCCTGGTTTAGAGCAGGGGTAAAGAAAACCGGGTTGTCCGTTTATTGTATATGCATCAGAGATGGCTGGTTCACCTCCGGTTTTCTTAGCGTTTTCTGGTATGTCCATAATGTTTTTATTTTTCCACCATTCACCTGCCATTTGTCGCTTACCGTTAAACCCATGAACAATTTACAATATTGATTGCTGATTGGTCGCAAAATACAAAACGATGGAATTAGCAAAATAATTTGTAGAACTGAGTGGAGTATGCCGTAATGGGAACATTGTATTAATCTAATTAACAAGGAAAGAGTGTAAATTAGTGTACCTAAAATGATAGGGATTTCGTGGTGAGGCTTGGGAAAAGGATAAGACGAGCCGTTTTTAGGGTAGACAATAAACGCTCCATGGACAGTGGCACGTGCCCATTGGGTATGTGCATGCCACCAAATCGTGCCTTCTTCAATCGTAAGATTAATTGTATATGCATAGCTCTCTCCTGGTCGGATTGGACATTGAGTCACGTATTCAGGTCCGTCAGACCACGGATTCCCGATTTGTCTCGCTCCATGCCTAAAAATGTTTAAACATGTCTCTCTGAATCTTGTAAACATTAGCCAATGCGAAATCAATATGTGTTTCAAAAGTTCAAACAAATGTTTACCAGTGAAGAGTAATATTGTAATTTGCGTTGTTGATGACATTGACAATGAGCGTATCTCCACGATAGGATTTCAACGTCGGTCCGGGGAATTCTCCATTCACCGTCAATATCTTTTTGGTGTTACAAAGTCGTGTGTATGCTTTTGACTTTATCTGTACATGCATGTAGATAAATTCGATATGTAATATGATTGATCTGACCCTTTTAATATCTCTCTTAATTTTTTACAAAAACATTTGTTTTTTACAATACCGTGAAAGTATGACGATGAATCTTGGCTTCTGCGATTTGGATTATAAGAAAAACAAAGAGGGAGAAGATTATAGGCAGTGTGTTAACAATTGAGTTTGGAATGTTGACCTTTAATCCCATGATTGTTCTTCTGAACAGATATAATCTCAGACAAGATGTAAAAATATGGTGTTTTGGTTAGCTCTTATAGTGTTATTTTATTTCTTTTTATTTATTTTTGTTCTGTTTTTTTTTTTTTGGTAGACATGTTCAAATGTTTTCTTAACAGTTCAAAATGGTTACTAATCTATATATATAATATTTCTATAAACCAGTGTATAAAATACTTATACTTAATTCTTAAAAAGAAAAGACTAACTAATTAAGAATGAATTCTGTAAGGTTTTACAAAATGACTAAGAAATCGTTTCCCATAATAGCCTAATTATACATTGAATACAAAAATAGGGAACACATTCTTAAAAAGAAAGGACTAACTAATTAAGAATGAAATCTGTAAGGTTTTACAAATTGACTAAGAAATCGTATCCTATAACAGCCTAATTATACATTGAATATAAAAATATGGAACACATAAATGAAATAATATATTTGAAAATAAATCGAATAAAACCAAGCTCCAAGAATTTTAGATGACTGACCCCCACTAAATATGAACTTGAACTTGTCTACAAGTCTGGCCTGTTAGAATTTAACTCGGATTATATGGCTCGTCCTTTCACTCTTACCTCTCTCGGGTTACTGTCTAATCTCTACCGTTTGAATTTGAGGAGCAACTGTTCGAGGCTCAATGGCTCCAATGTCTTGATCTTCAAAGGAATTTTTTATGCAAATCTTAATTAGATTCTTCGCGTAATACTCTAAATGAGTCGATGCCATTTAGCAAACAAAAAAATGACTCGATCCCAAAGTCGATATTACAGTTTAAGCAGCTTCAAAGTTGGATTCACAGTGTGGTTAGCTATGTTCTCTTAACTAAACATAATGTCTTTATCCCTAATTACATAGGAAGGTTGCAAATAACTCTTGATTAGTCTCATACTTCGACTTTGAGCTTTGTTAGATAAATTAGTGGCTCATTGTGATTAAATGGAACATAATCTGGAAATAAATACCAGCAGTCAACTCAAATAATAAATACGACCAATGTGAGTTTAAAAAGCACGCATTGAAATCATGCCTTAATGATATAATTATAACTAAAAAATAAGCTAAGGTCTTAGAAAGAGAACTTCATGGTAAACTAAAAAGTAAAAGGACTTCGACTTTTAGATAAAAGAGAACAATATGACCAATGCACCGCTGATTACAAATGACAAGCTAGATATTGGGATCATTGAAGGCCCATGGTTCCCTTGAGATGGGCTTGGAGCTGGAGCAGAAGCTGGTCCTGAACCTGATTGTGTTCCTGGTTGTGTTCCAGTAGCAGGAACTGGAGCTGTTGCAAAAATAAAAATAAAAAATTAACTAGGCAATAAATAGTCACAAATACATAACTAAGTTGCTTGATACATCTTCAAGCTTTGCAGAATATGCAGAGAGAACGGAGGGAAATCACAAAACTAATCGATATGATCCAAATTCAAAAGTTAAACGAAATAAAGATTTTGACAAAGTCATTTTCTTGTAGGTTAATTACACAATTCAAAGCACTAGCTTTAAGATTGATATATAGTATCGTATAAATTATGTGAAGATGGTCAGATCAAACAACGAATCAGCGTCAAACCATTTGTATTCATAACATTATGATTGGAGTCGAACAACATATTTGAAACTGAAATTATCATCAGGTTTTCATTTCTCAATCATTTTTTCTCGTCTAACTATTTACTAGTCTTTAAGAGGATGAAAATACCAATTTTTAATTACGATGACTACCGACTTTTACAATTCCCCTAATTTATTGTTAGAATTAGAACTCCAACCAAAGTATACTTTAAGCATTAAAAAAAATCGGACATTTTTTCAGACAATTTTTTAAAAAAAAAAAAAACAGTAAATTGATCAATGTTAATACAAAAGTAAACAATTTTTATATGACAATCGACATGTAAGGAAAAAAAAAGATCAAACAAATTAAAGAGTGATTAAGAATGAATTCAACAAAGAGAGAGACAAATACCTGGCGCACTAGCAGGATGATTAGTAGACACTGCAACAACAACAACGACAACAACAAATCAGAGATCAGGAAAAAAAAAAAAACTCATTACAAAAAATCCAGGAAAAATAATTCAGAGATTACAAAAATGAAAAAAGAGAAAGGAGAATCAGAGAGAGATAGAGAGATGAAGAGAAATCTCACATCCACAAGCAGTCACCGGAGGAGCGGTGAGATTGCAAGCGGCAGGAAGAGTAGAGGCTTTAGTGACGTTCAGTTTGACTCCAAAGGAGGCACTGTTCTTTAGCCCTTCACATAGACATTCGGCGTTCGAGTCGAGCACCGTCTTCAGACCAGAGCAGCACTCGATGTCCGGTTTCTCCACTTGGCTCCCGATCGTAACGAAAGACAAACATTTCGCCATGTTCAGTATCACGGCGGAGCAATCGGTGGTTGGTGCCGACTTTCCATGAACGAAAGGAGAGGATACAGAGAGGACGAGAAGGAGAATAGAAATCGCGGCGGGAAATACGGCCATAGTTTGATTCTCAGATTTTTTTTGTAATTGGCCAGTTCACCGGAGAAAATGGTTTAAACGGAGAAGAGAAAGAAATAATGTAATGTGGTGGAACCAAGGCTTCCTTGATGTACACTACTATTTATCTGTTTTGTTAACGGAGACACGGTGTCGTTTTAGTGTACGAGTCATGCGTTTCGTGTGTAACGCGTGATTATGGGTTTTTTAATTTGATTTGTATCCTTTATCCTAAAATCAGCTTTCTTAGTAAAGAGCTTTAATATCAAAAATTTACTTTATTACCGAAAATGAGAAAGTCCAACTGTAGTTATCTTCTTCACACGCCTTTCTTAAAATGGAGGATTTTGTTTTCAAACTTTTGCTTTGATTGCCATATTCTAATATTTGTCCTTCAAATCGATTTAGGGTCAAAAAAGTTTGTATCGTATGTCATTATGTAATCACTAAGTAGTTACTAAATAATCTACAAAGCTAGAAACAATGGTTATGAAACTCGAATGAAAAAATAAGTCATTCTTCGGATTAGTAGGTCTATATAACTATCTTATTAATTAACAAGGAATGGTGCACATCTGAAACTTAAAAATGCATGCATTATTGTAATGGAAAATTCTTGGAAATAGGAGTTAAACTCAAGAGACTAATAGAAAAAAGGAAAATAAGTATTTGTTTGCACCACGCTTATTTGAAGATAATTGAGACAAAACAGAGAATTCAGTGTTTTTTGTTTTCTATTTGTTCTTAGAAAATTATTGTTACGATGTACTCAGAAGAAGGATGAAAGAGTTGTCTATTTTCGTAAAAGACATCTCAAAGTCAAAAGTAAAATGGAAAATAACGAGTGATTGTCCTCGAAATCAAAAGAACGTTAAAACACTGAATGGTGATCATTAATGGAATAATATACAAATGGAGAGTGATAAAATCATAGAATTTTGTTTCGACCAAAAAAAAAAAATCATAGAATTTTGTTTCGCATTATTGTCTCAAATTTGATGAAAAAAATATAATTTGTTCTATTATTTCCTAAAAAGTTGAAATGAAATTAAATTATATGTACAAAAGAATTACTTATACATAAAATATTAGTTGACAAAAAAAATACATAAAGTATTTATATGGGATTGAAAAAGATTTTATTGCTCTTCCACGTTTCTGTGGTCACTAATGAGAGCCAATATTTTAGCTTATGCATGATTTTCTGATTGTATATGCTGAAACCATATAGGTAATTTTTAGCATGATTATTATTGAAAGTAAAAAAAAAATACAATATATTTTTAGTTTATTTCTCAATGTCAAAACTATGACTTCTTCCGATAAAAAAGAAGGAAACAAAATTGATGTAATGAAATGGTTAAAGAATGTCACATATTGTCGATATCTTTCAAGATTGAATCAATATCAGGAGTCAAAACTGCATGCTTGTACACATCTCCAACCAGACAGCAATTCTTCTCATCTACGTTAACAACCATCACATCTTGTGCAAACTCGCTCTTCAATCCCGGGCTAACCTACACACCCCATTTTCAAATCTCAATTAGACTAGAATGGTTTTACTTTAAAAAATATATATATTGGGAAACCGAAAACGAGTCCAAACCAAGCAGAACAGATAAAGAAACCAAAAACTGTACCAAAGTGATCCATACTAGAATCAGTTTTTAACTTGGCAACTATTTTTCTAAAACCAAAACCCTTATAAAACCAAAAAGCAAGAACCGATCCTTGGAATGAACACCCATAAATGTTTTGCTGGGTTTTGCGGAATCTAGCCTAATCGAATGCTAATCAAAGGAAACAAAATAAACGAGTATGAAAAATCACTCACATCATAAAGCACTTCACCAAGTTTCATCTTGACAGCACCACTTTTGTAGATAAGCAGTTTTCCCATGAAACCTTCTGGCAAGGTGGCTTTTAAATCACAAGTCTTTTCAACTCCGCCTTTGCTATTTGGCTTCGTTTCGCGGTTTGCTGTTGTCGCTGACTGCTTTACCAAAGGAACAGAAGGTAATCTCATAAAAATCATTTTCTGTTCACCACTATCTTCCTGCCAACAAGTCATGCAAAAATATGTAAATATGGAGTTTCTAAATTTAGTGTGTGACTTTTGATTCTCGAATTTCGTTTTTGTAATGTCACTAACCATCAGACCGAGAGTAGCGGCAGTGTTAAGTGAATCTTCATGATTTCCCTCAGTCTGTATAAATTCCTCCACGTCAAGGAGCTCTGCAAAAAAATGAGCAGCATCTCAAACATATAAGTAAAATGCTGATCAAGAAAATGTTTCCTTTTACTTCTCAAGCAAAAAAATATATATAAACCTGGATCGCCTGCGTAGGGTCTCCTCAACGGAAGCGTGATTGGGTAACAACTGTAATAATCCTGCGAGGGAATCCAAGAACAGTAATTATGCATTAACATCCGTCAGTATAGGAGTTGGAGATCATATAATGGGTTACTGTTGTTATACCGACCCATGGTTCTTTATACTCTATGTCCTGTGTCACATTTGAGCCAAAAGCACCAGCTGCACAAGAAACATCATGGATCAACGATCCACGCAGATGGATTCTGATTATAACAAAGAGTTGCTGGTTTAAGAAAATCAAAATGAATGCTACCTGATCCATTGAGATACTTATCTGATCTCGTGGAATTTACCACACCTCCCATCCAAGCAACTTGAGAAGCAGGAACTGTACAATAATTCATGCAAAAAAACTCAAATCAATGTGTTTGAAAGAGTGTTTTTTTTACAATCGAGTAGTATAGTAGCAAACAGAATAAGATTAGAGTCAAGTTTCAAGTTAAAGATATTACTTTTCTTTTCCCCTTTTGGCTTGCGCAATGATCTTTCCTTAAGGAAACAAAAACAAAATCCAGGAAAACGGCTTGAGAAAACAAGAAGAAGAAACAAGAGTCAAAAGCGATTTCACTCAGTGATAAATAAATCTTACAGTTAATCTGCGTAGCAACTCCGTGGCTTGTGCACTATTATTATCATCCTCAACCACTTCACTGCAGATATTCGAAATTCAAAACTTGATTTCAGAAGCCAGATTGACCAAAGAACACGTTCGCTAATGCTTAATCAGATCAGTGTTAATAGAAAATTGATTACGGTTTAACTTCCGGTTTCGGCACACGTTTAGGTGGAGCTTTTGGAGCAAATTTCATCTGCAGATGAAAACACGAAAACGAAAAATTCAGGAGAGCCAAAACTTAATCTGGCAGAAAAGAGAGGAAAAAGATGATATCGACCACAAACCTTCCGTACTGGTGGCTTCTCCTCCATTGCAATTCAACACTTTGACCACCCAGAAAACAAAACCACAGAAGAACATTAAGTTACGAGTATACAATTATTTGAATTTTATATCTTCAAACTCACAGAAACTTTACAAATTTCAGAGTCAGAACCGGAAAAAAAATGTAATAGAATTAATAGTTTAGAACCTGACCTGCAACTCGAAGACTGGTTGATCGCCGATCGTTGAGTTCACTGACGGTGAACAATGAGCCTGAGCATGAGGATGATCGGCGATTAAAAAGATCACATAAATTTAGGGACTTTCGGTAAGCCGGCTGTTGCGCTAATGTTTAGGATTAAATGATTCAGGCCCATTAGTCTGGCCCATTTTGGTTATGTCGGCGTGAGTTCATGCCTTCGTCTGATATCTCCTCGACGCCGCTTTTCACCGCCTGAGAAGCTACGAATCATCGTCGTCGTCATCGTTGTCGTCTGCGAACGCTGCTACAATGGCAGAGAATTCGTCGAGGAAGAACCTTAAACGATCCTTCTTAGAAGATGAAGATTCCGATAAGCAACCACCGTAAGTTGACAAACTTTTCCGAAACCCTAATCTCCATTTTTGTTCCGTTTCCCGTTGAGTGATTCAGTTTTAGGTGGTAAGAGAAAAGTATTTTCGTCGTCTTATCTGCATCTGATTCTATCATCTCCTAAATTTGGTTAGCGTTAGGATGATGCGGGACCTTGGACCTGAAATTGAGTGCGTAGATTAGAGAATTCGTTGTTTTTGTTTGAAAGAAAGGAATATATAATTGTCTAGGAGTATTAATCCGTTTTTGATAATTTTCTGTCAGTTACAGTGCCTACGTTTTTTATTCAACTTGAGTGCGGAGCTTATGATTAGTTTGTGTGCGTACGCTAAAATATGGATTTATGGACAAGTAGTTTGGTGTATCTTTAATGGAGGATTCTCTCTGGCAGAGAAAAGCGAGTACGGTTTCCAAAGGGGAAGAAATCTAAACCTGAACAAACCTTAGAGGAAGGGGCTGTAGCTCGCCGCCAAGCTCGTGCTGCTGCTTTGGAACGTGCACAGATTCGCAATCAGAGTACTGCTGAGCTCTTTATTGGCGATGATAATGATGAGGCCGAGGAGACTTATGAGGTTGGATTTCTGCAATCCTTTTTGGTGACTGTTCCTGGAAGCTAATGATATCTATTTCGAGACCTGAATTTTGTCTTGACTGTTTCTGGCAATTCAATACGGTTTTATGTTCATGAAAATGATCATGCTGATGCGGTTATCTCATTGTAGAATGACGAGAACCGCACAGAAGATGGGATCCAGATCGAAGCTTTTAGTCTGGACAGGGAGAAGGAAGAAGGATACTTTGATGCTGATGGGAACTTTGTAGAGTATGTTAGAGAAAAGGAAGTCAAGGTGCCAAGTCCACGTCTTTCATTGTAAATTTGAGATCCGGTGTGTTTTGTGGGTTGTCTTACATGTTTTTTTTGAATATCAGGATGCATGGCTTGACAGTATTGAAACTAATCCAATGTATATGGGACGCTCTGCTGCAAATGATACTGAGAAGGATGAAGATAGTGTGAACGAAAAACCAGTGGATGAACTTTCTCAAGAAGATATTGGAGTCAGAAAGAGGCGTATTGCTAATGTCCTTGAACCAGGAGAAACGGTGAGACTCATTCTGTGTTAATTGTTTTAGACCATAAAACACGGATTGGATTAGTTAAAAACAATAGCTTAAGACCGCATTGTTGATTATACATACAAACATTTAAGATAACTCGGGTTCATTGTCACAGGTCTTGCGAGCTTTAAGGAGGTTGAAAGGGAACTCGAATAATCGCAAGGAGAAGATGACATCTGAGACAAAGCTTATCTTTGATCAGCTTACTGAGGATGCGGACAAGCTCATCCAGAATGGCGACTACAGTTAAGTCTCGTATTACTTATGCTATGAATTTTTTTGCTAATACAAATCATGTCCTCCATTTGTTAACATTAGTTACTCTTTTTATGTATTCAAGATGTTTATCATGAGGAGCAAGAAGTTTTTCAACGTGAAGCAGGTTGGATCTACTACTAATGTTATTTTTTATTTTCATCTCCGTTGTTGCTGCTGCTAAGATTCTTGATATTTCCTTCTTCACAACATTAGGGAACAAAGAGCTTCGCTTGACCTGTTTTTCTCTATGCTGGTTTTTTAGAGGGATACGAGAGACTAGCTCAAGCGAGAGAAAATGGGAATGCTAATACAGAATCTTGTGATATGTTTGGCGATGACGAAGATACTCCAAATCCTTCCTCCAGTTTACCTTCTGGCTCCATCTCGGCCACTCAACTTAATCATGGTACCACAACTGCTGAAAGTAAGAGCTTTAATAACGTTTCCACCTCTTATAAGAAGACTCCTAATTGAAATTGTTTCTTGAACTTTCCCTTAAACCAATTTCATTTACAGCTGGGGCCTTGGAGCACGGGCAAACAAATGATGGATCTGATTATGTCTTTGACGAGTCTTCAGGGTATGTGTTATGCTATCAAGTATAATGATATGAAGCTCATTTTTTAGTTTATCTGAATGCATACTAAAGCGATGTAACACTAAATGCTTTTTCAGGTACTACTACAGCAGCAGTCTTGGTTACTATTATGACCCAAACACTGGACTATACTGCTCTGCAACAACCGGCAAATGGTAATTTACTTCCCAGGAGCTAAGAACTTAAGAGAGAGAGAAAAAAAACATTACTAGTCTTTTTCTCCATGTGTTTTTGTCTTCTAGTCGTCTTTCTCAATAACACTAATGATATGAATTAGATTTGGTATCTGCTTCTTCTCCGGTTCTCGCTTTGCGACATTGTACTATTCGGTCTAATTTAAACATATGCGTGCAGGTACAACTACGACGAAGAGACAAAGGAATATGAAGAGGTGGCTTCTGACGTGACTTCGGGGGAAGTTTAAATTCTTCAGTCTGTCTTAACAGTTTTCCCCAGTTAAACATTTTTCTTTAGTTTGAAAAATTAGTACATAATGATGACATGATTTTGAATATATATATATATATATATATGTGTGTGTGTGGGGATTTTATTATTATTTATCGTTGATTTAGTAGTATTTCATTACTGAGAAGAGTACAGAGATAATTAGGTCATAAACTATAAATAAATTGACGTAATCTTCAGTGGACCTAATTGCCCAGATAATTAGCATGGCCCAAAAGAGAATTCTGTGAAGAGAGTAAACGAAAATGCTAAATAAAGAGGTGGTTGCTTACCTATTCTGTCACTGTACGAGGTAAGACTCCTAAGAGAGTCAAATGAATTTAACTGATAAAGAGGCTAACTGACATCATCCATCTTTCATCTACAGTTCTTTATACAGCATCAACAGCTACAAGAGTTTCCCATCTTCACCACTCGGGTTCTTTTCTCGAACTAAACTGATGGGATTAATCAAACTAGGCTCAAAAAGAATAATTGACTAGGCCCAATAACCCAATCTAACCGGTTCACTCTGGTTTAATCCGGCACATACTTTCAAGTTTGTACGAGTCACCTTTGAATCGGACCGGTTCGGCAGCAACTGGTAAAGCAGAGATTGAAATCATCGGCATTTGGCACTAAAGAAACCAACATCCCGTCGAGAAATCTCTCCTCCTGAGAAAATTTTGATCGGAATTCGGATGCGAAACTCTACAACTACGGGTCGTCACGTTTTATCCTGAGAATATTTCAGAGGTGTTTGTAACTCTATGCATATATCTGTCAAATCGGCGTCTCAAAGTTCTTCGTCTGATCCGTTTTTCGAAACTCTTTCAGCCTTGATTGCAATCGAAGGGTTTTGAAAATGGCGGAGGAGAGCAGCTTTGATGGTTCCGAAAAGGAAGAGATCGGTAGCTCAGGTGGTGGCTTTGGAGACTTGGGATCAATGGACTCTGTCGAGTCTCGATGGGTTCTTCAAGACGAGGATGACTCCGAGATCGGCTTTGATGACGATGATGACGAATTCGACGGCACTGGACTGGAATCGGATGACGAAGAGATACCGGAGCATCGCCTGATCCGTACCGGTCCGCGTGTTGACTCCTTCGACGTGGAAGCCCTTGAAGTGCCTGGTGCTCCCAGGAATGATTACGAGGTGACTGATGATTTCGTATTTGTGCATTTATTGTATAAGAAAAAGCAAATCAGGATATGGCCATGGACAGTGTATTCATAGACAAAGTTGGTAACTTAAACAAATAAGAAAGTGCCATAAGAGATTATAGTGAAAATTCTTTTAGCAAGTGGAGACTATCATCGACTAGAAACAGGAATCAGAAATGCTTTGTGACTTTTTTTTGCGATTTACCTAGGAGTTTTCTGCTTGAAACTACTACCTTCCAATTTTTTTTTATGCAAGTTTTGCAGATAAAGAATAATGGATAATCTACGACTTGTTTTTGTGAGCCAGTACTTTTCTTTGCATAGTTAACGAAACTTCTATTTGTGTGTGTGTGTTTTTTTTTACTTTGCTAGGACTTGACCATCGGGAGGAGAGTGTTGCTTGCATTCCAGACACTAGGGGTTGTCTTCGGAGATGTAGGAACCAGTCCATTGTATACGTTCAGTGTAATGTTCAGTAAATCACCTGTCCAAGAAAAAGAAGATGTCATTGGAGCATTGTCACTAGTGTTATACACCTTACTTTTGATCCCCCTTATTAAATATGTTCTTATTGTTCTATGGGCAAATGATGATGGTGAAGGTATGCTTTAATCTGTTTTGATCTCCTAATTAACAGTATTGCTTTGAATATTTACCGTACAGACAATGCCAACTGCTTTGATTACTTATGATATTTCAGGTGGGACCTTTGCGTTATACTCATTAATCTCTCGTCATGCCAAGATTAGTCTTATCCCAAATCAACTTCGCTCAGACGCCCGAATTTCAAGTTTTAGACTGAAGGTGCCTTGCCCTGAGCTTGAGAGATCATTGAAACTAAAAGAAAAACTCGAGAATTCATTAATTCTGAAGAAACTTCTCCTCGTGCTAGTTCTTGCTGGAACTTCCATGGTGATTGCTGATGGTGTTGTTACTCCTGCAATGTCAGGTTCTTATATAAACCCTTCTAAGTATGTTCATAGGCATGATTCTATTGTATTGATCCAGCGGGGGGTTGGTGCTACTACCGTATGGTCTTTTCTGAATTACATGATTTTCATAATGCAGTAATGTCAGCTGTTGGTGGACTTAAGGTTGGATTTGATGCGGTTGAGCAAGGTAATGCGGATTCTAATCAACTTCGAATCCGTCTAGTCATTGTATCTTTTGAAATTGTTCAGCTATCTCTTGTTTCTTCTTTGCAGATCAAGTGGTAATGATTTCAGTTGCATTTCTGGTAATCCTGTTTAGTCTACAGAAGTATGGGACGAGTAAGATGGGACTAGTTGTAGGCCCTGCCCTACTTATATGGTTCTGCTGTCTTGCTGGTATTGGCATTTATAATCTGATCAAATACGATAGCAGTGTTTACAGAGCATTCAACCCTGTCCACATCTATTACTTCTTCAAGAGGAACTCTATAAATGCGTGGTATGCACTTGGAGGTTGCATTCTCTGTGCTACAGGTAATTCTCTTAATTTTTTTGGATGGCTAGAATGTCTGTAGAAAATGAAGTAGGTTACTCTTGTAACAAAGGCTAACAGAACCGACTAAGGCTTTTTATGCCCAATACTCTGCCTGATATTGTGATGCTTCCTTTGTTAATTGTTCATGTTATATAATTTATTTATTTTTTTATCTTTTAGGCTCAGAAGCATTATTTGCAGACCTTTGCTACTTTTCGGTTCGATCAGTCCAGGTAAATGAATAGTGGAATGGCCTTTGGCGGCGATGTTCAGTTTTTCTTTTTTCTCCTTTTTGTATGCTATTTGTGCTTTAATTTTCTACAACTATAATTTATTTCGTAGTTGTTTTCCGCAGCTTACATTTGTGTGTCTCGTCCTGCCGTGCCTCATGCTGGGCTATATGGGACAAGCTGCATACTTGATCGAGAATCATGCGGATGCTAGCCAAGCTTTCTTTTCATCTGTTCCAGGTAAAGCTCAGTTACTTCCTTCATTCAGTGAATCTCCATGTCTCTTTGGCAAACAAAACCATTTTTATACCACTGCAAAGGATGTTTTCGCGGTGCGGGTTAGTGACTTATATTTAATACTAGCATTAGTTATTGATTCATCATTACTGTTTTGCAGGTGCTGCATTCTGGCCGGTCCTTTTCATAGCCAACGTTGCAGCTCTGATTGCCAGTCGCACAATGACGACTGCAACATTTTCATGTATTAAACAGTCGACAGCTCTGGGTTGTTTTCCTCGTCTCAAAATTATTCACACTTCTCGGAAATTTATGGGTCAGATTTATATACCTGTCCTAAACTGGTTCCTGCTTGCCGTTTGCCTGGTCGTAGTCTGCTCAATCTCAAGTATCAATGAGATTGGAAATGCGTATGGTAATAGCTGTTTTCCCTGTTTCCTTTTCAGCTATAGTGGTCCGATACGCTTCCCCCTTTTTGAATTTTGTTTCGATTTCCCAGGGATGGCTGAGCTTGGAGTGATGATGACAACGACAATTCTAGTGACGTTAATCATGCTTCTTATATGGCAGATAAACATCGTAATCGTGATTGCCTTTCTGATAGTTTTCCTCGGAGTGGAATTAATATTTTTCTCGTCAGTTATAGCGAGTGTTGGGGATGGAAGCTGGATAATATTGGTTTTTGCCGTAATCATGTTTGGTATAATGTATGTTTGGAACTATGGAAGCAAGCTCAGGTATGAAACAGAAGTCGAACAAAAGCTGTCAATGGATTTGATGAGAGAACTTGGGTGCAACTTGGGAACAATAAGAGCTCCCGGTATTGGTTTGTTGTACAATGAGTTAGTGAAGGGAGTACCTGCAATATTTGGCCATTTTCTGACTACACTTCCTGCAATCCATTCCATGGTCATTTTTGTCTGCATAAAATACGTCCCAGTTCCAGTTGTACCCCAGAATGAGAGGTTCCTCTTCAGACGCGTCTGCACCAAGAGCTATCACTTATTTCGTTGCATTGCCAGGTCGGTCTTTTTTTTTTGTTTTTCCGATTCACTGCTCACGTTTCCGTGGTTTGTAGCAGTAGATAAGAGTTAACGTAGTAGAGGTTCTTACTCAAGTCTGTAGACCTGAAATGTGGTTATCATCTTCTTAATTACATAGCGAAGTATGTATTTCTTAAGAGCCAACTGTTGCTCACAGTTTTGGTAATATGTGGTGAAGGTATGGTTACAAAGATGCAAGAAAGGAGAACCACCAAGCATTTGAGCAGCTACTGATCGAGAGCCTCGAGAAGTTTATCCGGAGAGAAGCTCAAGAACGTTCCCTGGAGAGCGACGGGAACGGTGATTCAGACTCAGAGGAAGATTTCGCAGGTTCTAGAGTCGTTATTGGGCCCAACGGAAGCATGTACTCAATGGGAGTACCTCTTCTCTCTGAATACAGAGACTTAAACAGACCGATAATGGAAATGAACAATTCGTCTAATCACACAAACCACCAGCCATTTGACGCATCATCAGATTCCTCTGTATCTGAAGCGGAGCAAAGCCTGGAGAGAGAGTTATCGTTCATACACAAAGCGAAAGAATCAGGGGTGGTGTATCTGCTAGGACATGGTGATATAAGAGCAAGAAAAGATTCATGGTTCATCAAGAAGTTAGTCATAAATTACTTCTACGCATTCCTGAGGAAAAACTGCAGAAGAGGGACCGCAAATTTGAGTGTGCCTCAGTCGCATCTGATGCAGGTCGGTATGACATACATGGTCTGAGCTGCTTCTTTCTTCTTTTAATCAATCATAGTTTTTTTTTTTTGTCCATAGAATCCGTAAGTTGCGTCGATGTTTCTGCATTGTTTGTTTGTGAAGAATCTGAGTCTTTGACTAGTCAAATTTATAGAGCATCAAGTAGAGGAAAAAAGCTGAAGCCTGTATCGAATTCAGGACATTTCATGGTTGTTGGAATATAATATCGGTATATCGTGTCATGATGGATGTCGTTATTGTGCTATGATTTAGAAATCTGAAATACTTTTGTGATAATAACCCTTAGTTAAGGGCAAAAGGCTAGACTCGAAACCAGAAGAAGAGGAATGCAAGTCCTTGAAACTGCATTTTCATAGAAATGTTATTTCACATGGCTTCATCGAGTTTATCGATGCAACTAGAGATCACTCTTTAGAGGTCTCTTTCAGAGGAGGACTTTTGAATCTCCACCGTCGGATCCGCCGCCGCGAGGGAGAAAGAGAGGGAAAAGTCACTTTTTGACAACAGTTTTGAATTAAAAAAAAAAAGGAACTTTATAATCGATACGAAGGACATGGACTGATGGACAAGACAAATTTAAGGTGTATACGTGTCATATGTCTATTGGATAAGTGATCTTAATATTCACTGTTTATAAACAAGTCGATTCCCTTGTTATCCTCGTTCTCGCTCCAATAAGAAGATATTAAAAAAAGAGAGAGAGAGAAAGAAAAATCGGAGAAAGAAAAAAGAAACGCTTTCGCTTTCACACCTGGAAACATATAACAAAGCTTCTCAGTTCATGCATATACTCAGATCGGTTAGGGCTCGCTGATTCTTTTTGGGATTTCGGAAGCTAGAAGATCTCTTGGTGGATATTTTGGGTTTCTGTTCTTATGGCGGATCGCGGATCTTTTGGATTTATTAGCACTCCTCGATTAGGTATCTGTTTCTTTATTTCGTTCTTTAGTTTTGTTTGTTTCCCTCTGTCGTTTTGGTTCATTTGCTAGCTTCGATGCCATCTTTTGTTTTTCTGGCCTCCACATTTGACAGGCAAAGTAATCGAGCCCGTGTCCTTTCATTAGAGAGGAACTTGGCTAAGTTCACCTTCTACCTGGTGATGTTCAGCATGATTTTGTTTGATTTTTTGTTTTCCTGATTTTTCGAGGAAGTAGAGTAATTTTCCCATGTTAAATTGAAAGCTGTAAGCTCTGCGATATATTCGAGTTGCTCTGTTGCGTTGGGGATGTTCATATATGTTAATTAGTGGTAGCGTAATAGTGTTAGCGGCTTTTTAATTGACTCAGAGTCAAAAAGGTGTTTGGAGTAATTGGATATTTTGCTTCTTTACGAATTCGCAGATATGGAACGGTTGCTCTCCGAAGCACAACACAGGTGGCTTAGGCCTGCTGAGATTTGTGAAATTCTTCAGAACTATCAGAAGTTTCATATAGCATCAGAGTCTCCCAGCCGACCCGCCAGTATGTTTGTGCCCGAATTCCCTAGTCTACAAGTATTATTTTTCTCTGTATACTAACATCATCTCCCCACCCTTATAGGTGGTTCACTCTTTCTTTTTGATAGGAAGGTGCTGAGATATTTTAGGAAAGACGGACATAACTGGAGGAAGAAGAAAGACGGGAAAACTATAAAAGAAGCTCATGAGAAGCTCAAGGTTAGAATTTTTTTGTGATTTTTCCTTGAGAGTAACATCTTAATGCAGTGTATCTAAATTTTTTAGAGTAACATTGTTAAAGTGTATATAGGTAGGAAGCATTGATGTGCTACATTGTTACTATGCACACGGGGAAGGCAACGAGAATTTCCAGAGACGATGCTACTGGATGCTTGACCAGTGAGTCTGAGAATATCCATATTTCAGTTTTTCTTATTCTGTTGGGAGTGGTGTACTTTCTAGATCTTGGATAGAAAAGGGAACGTTTATGTTCATAAGATGGTGTTACAGAGAAACTTAATCTCTCTGGCTTTTAGATGAGAATAAGGCAGCAAACCTTCATGGCATAGTCGTTACTCGTTACTTGTCTTTTTTTGTTCCTTTAAATCTCTGAGAGGCCTTCACCGGTTAAGTGTGGAACCTCAAAATGTCAACTTTGTCACTATTCTCATGCAATCCTTACAATTGACTAGTACAAGTTGGCTTTGCTTCTTGATATAATATACTTCATAGTGTGTTTTCAGTTTTGTGCTTATATACTCTGTTTTATGTTGTATTGTTACAGAGATCTGATGCATATTGTTTTCGTACACTACTTGGAGGTTAAGGTATAGCTCTTTCTGTCTGTGCTGTTATTAGTATAAAAATAAATTTCCATGACTTCGCATTATATTGTTCTTTTGTAGTCTGGTTTTCTACAGATCTCTTAAGTTCATCTTATATTGTAAATTATACAGGGTAACCGGACAAGTACAGGAATGAAAGAAAACAATTCAAATTCTGTTAATGGCACTGCTTCAGTGAATATTGATTCAACAGCAAGCCCGACCAGCACATTGTCATCATTATGTGAAGATGCTGATTCTGGTATCTCTTTGTATATTATTTTGTATACTTGGTATTTTTGTTCAAAGATATAGTTCTTTCCATGGGATAATAATCGATGTTCATCCTAATATGCGAGGTGTGATGATTTACTTAACTGTGAACATCACATGCTCTTGGTTGTGTGTGTAATTTTCAACACCACCTTATATCAGTTTTGGCGCAGGGGATAGTCATCAAGCAAGTTCTATCTTACGAGTATCTCCTGAACCTCAAACTGGTAATCCTCAGATAAGGGCTAGCATATTAAATTCTTACTATACAAGCTCTGTTTTGAGTACTCACCTGATTTCTGATTTACAGTCTGCATGTTTGATAAGAGTGCCTTTTTTTCCTGTCTAGGAAATCGCAATGGTTGGACATCTGCTTCTGGCATGCGTAGTCTTTCACAGTGTCATGGGAACAGAGTCAAAGAAAATGATTCCCATAGATTATTTGATGTCCAAGCTTGGGATCCCGTCGAGAATTTAGTGACAAGATATGATCAAGCTTGTGATAACTTATTGACTCAGTCTTCTAATAATGAGTCAATGCTGGTGGAAGAGCATACAGACAAAGGCAGGGTGTTAACGGCAGAGCATCTCAGAAATCCTCTTCAAACTCAATTAAATTGGCAGGTAGGGTACTACTTTAATAATTATTCATTTAAGAGCTATGCGTAGAAACATGTCAATGTACAAAAGGGAAAGATGTACTGTGGGGAAAAATCATGGAAATGCGTGATGATGTCATAGCAAATCAAACCCTGAAGCTATATTAGCTGTATTTATGTCTTGCATGTTTTCATTAGCAATTTTCTCAGGGGTTAGATTTCTGCCACTGAAATATTGTTAAAGGTACTTTGTGAAGTTAAATTTATCTGTCGGTCGTAAGAAAAAAGGATAGATTCCATGCCTGCCTGAATCACCTTGAGTTCAGATAGGAAGATAAAAGACATATTACTGTGATGAAGGGTTGTTTTTAATTGCTCTGATTTTGAGATACTCATATCTGTTGATTCCACTTCAGGATGACCAATCATTGCCAAAATGGCCCGTGGATCTGGTTTCACATTCTGGAACGACTGATGACACTGATCTGGCGTTATTTGAGCAAAGTGCACAAGATAATTTTGAGACATTTTCCAATCTCCTTGGCAGTGAAATTCAGCAATCTGTTGGGAATTCTTTTCAAGCTCCTCCTTCAAGTATGGAAATCGAATATATACCTGTAAAGAAATCGCTGTTAAGACACGAAGATAGTTTGAAAAAGGTCGATAGTTTTTCTCGGTGGGCTAGTAAAGAACTTGGCGAGATGGAGGATTTGCAGATGCAGTCTTCGCGTGGAGATATTGCATGGACCACTGTCGATTGTGAAACTGCAGTAGCTGGGCCCTCCTTGAGCCCTTCTCTCTCTGAGGATCAGCGTTTCAGCATAGTTGATTTTTGGCCAAAATGCGCTCATACTGACGCCGAAGTTGAGGTAGCTTCACTGTTCATATTTGAAAAAATGGTTTGGTGGTTTTACCATTCGGTTAATTTGTGTTAGTTTATATTCCAAATTATTTTTTAAACAGTAGCAAAATATTTTGTGCTGGGTGGTAGGGTAAGTCCTTTATTGATTTTCGTTTTTCACTTTATCTACAGGTCATGGTTATTGGGACATTTCTGCTTAGTCCTGAAGAAGTAACAAAATATAACTGGTCATGCATGTTTGGTGAAGTGGAGGTTCCTGCTGAGATATTAGTAGATGGTGTTCTCTGCTGTCATGCTCCACCTCATACAGCTGGTCAAGTGCCCTTTTATATTACATGTTCCAACAGATTTGCTTGCAGTGAATTGCGAGAATTTGATTTCCTTTCTGGTTCTACCAAAAAAATCGATGCTGCTGATTTGTATGGTACATATACAAATGAAGCATCACTTCAGTTGCGGTTTGAAAGGCTGCTTGCTCGCAGAGCTTCTGTTCACGAACACCATATATTTGAAGATGTCGAGGAGAAACGAAGAAAAATCAGTAAAATCATGTTACTAAAGGAGGAAAAAGAGTACCTCCTTCCAGGGACATGTGAGAGAGATTCACCCAAACAAGAACCAAAAGGACTGCTTATCAGGGAACAGCTTGAAGAAGAACTCTATGCATGGCTCATCCATAAAGTGACTGAACAGGGTAAAGGTCCAAACATACTGGATGAAGATGGACAGGGTGTTTTACACTTTGTTGCAGCGCTTGGGTATGATTGGGCTATAAAACCGATTTTAGCAGCAGCAGTTAACATTAACTTCCGCGATGCAAATGGGTGGTCCGCCCTTCATTGGGCTGCGTTTAGTGGCAGGTAAAAGATCTCTATCTTACATTTCTTTTTAGATTCTCAAATAGATGCGTCTTAAACTCTGTATTAGTTGGTCCACATTTCCATATCAAACTAACACTGTTTTCTGTGAACATCAGGGAGGAAACTGTCGCTGTGCTTGTCTCTCTAGGTGCTGATGCTGGGGCATTGACGGATCCATCTCCAGAGCTTCCATTGGGTAAAACAGCTGCTGATTTGGCTTACGTAAATGGACACAGGGGAATCTCGGGTTTTCTCGCAGAGTCTTCCTTAACTAGTTACCTTGAAAAGCTAACAATGGACTCGAAGGAAAACAGTTCTGCCAAAGCTTGTGGACCAAAAGCTGTTCAAACAGTCTCTGAGCGAACTGCTGCTCCTATGAGCTATGGCGATGTACCAGAAACACTTTCCTTGAAGGATTCACTTACCGCTGTCCGTAATGCTACACAAGCAGCTGATCGTCTTCATCAAGTATTCAGGATGCAATCGTTCCAGAGGAAACAGCTGACCGAGTTTGGCAATGATGACGAGAACGATATCTCCAACGAGTTAGCTGTTTCATTTGCATCTTCTACAATTAAGAATCCAGGACATAGTGATGTCTCTGTTCATTCTGCTGCTACCCATATCCAGAAAAACTATCGTGGTTGGAAGAAGAGGAAAGAGTTTCTCTTAATCCGACAAAGAGTAGTTAAGATTCAGGTTTGTCTGTTTACCCCTTTTTTTTTCTTTCCTTATAACTCTGTCTATTTTATCATTGCTTGAATCTCCATGTTTTTTTTTATCTTTAGGCTCATGTGAGAGGACATCAGGTCCGGAAACAATACAAACCAATCGTCTGGTCTGTGGGATTACTCGAGAAAATCATTTTACGTTGGAGACGCAAAGGTAGTGGCTTAAGAGGGTTTAAACGCAATGCAGTCGCCAAAACCGTGGAACCAGAACCGCCTGTATCAGTAGTTTGTCCTAAGATACCAGAGGAAGATGACTATGATTTTCTAGAAAAGGGAAGAAAGCAAACCGAGGAAAGGCTTCAAAAGGCCCTCACTCGGGTTAAGTCCATGGTTCAATACCCAGAAGCACGAGATCAATACCGTAGACTCCTGACCGTTGTCGAGGGCTTCCGTGAAAACGAGGTAACCCTAAACCCATAATATAACATAAACGCAGATTATAGAAATGCAGTATCATATTTGGTTGAATTTCTTGTGATAAATTGTTGAACAGGCTTCATCAAGTTCATCTATGAACAACAGGGAGGAACTACTAGTCAACTGTGAAGAAGACGACCTAATTGACATTGATTCTCTTTTGAACGATGACACTTTGATGTCTCTTTCTCCTTGATAGACATTTCCGACTCGTATGTATGTTCATTTTCTTCTCCTTTTATCATCATCTGGTATTCATTTTCATTCTTTTACTTTCTAACTTTTCTGCTTTCTCTGTAAATACCATAGTTGATATCACCATTTTATTAATTACTTTGGATTTAGATTCAGAATATAGAATATTCAGAGGTTTTCTATTGTTTGACATATTCAGAGTTATACATTATATAGTTTACTTATCATATTCAATATGGCTTTTTCTCAGTTAATATTTTATCGTCAAGTGTTCGATTATTCTGTGGTATATATTTCGAATAGTGGTATGGTGGTATTGAAGGTAAATTGATTACAAATCCGGATCGACGTGCCATTTTTTCTACCAGATTTGGATTTGCATGCCACTTTAAAGAAAAATAAAATAAAATTGTAACTCTGGATTTCCTATTAACGGACGGAAAAATTGGATTGATGGGCAAGGCTGTAGAATATGGAAACTTAACAAATAATTTATATAAAACTGTGAAATATTTCTGTATTATGATTTATTTTGTCAGGGAAATAAGTTCGTCTGTATATAAAAAAGTGGCTTGACTTGCTTTAAACGTAATTTTCCACGAGTGGAAAAGTTCATCAAGAGAAAAGGACAAAAAAATTGAAGATCAGGAAATTAACAATTTGTACACTGTTTAATTAAAAAAAAATGAAACGATTAGAGAGGAAATTAAGATTAAAAACCAATTAGAAAATAAATTTCGACTCGAAAAGAAGATTCGCCTTGGTCACCGCCGACCCGAGTTCACGGCTCACCAAGTAAGTCATCAGATAAAAAGTATTTTAACAACACTGCCTGCGCACGATAGCATTTTCCTTCTTCGAAAAACATCTCCTTCTCCTCTTTTTCTTTCCCCTTTGCTCTCTTAAACCCTCCTAAAACCCTTCGCTGTCTCTCTCTCCTTCTGCCAGATCGCAGTTATGTCGAATACGCTGACTTTGATTCAAAGCAATGCGTCGAATCCGAAAGTCTGGGTTGTGATCGGCGTGACGGTGGCCGGGATCGTGATCCTGGCGGAGACCCGTAAGCGGCGGATCAAAGCCCTTAGACAAGAGGACTTTGGTGCTTTCTTAGATCGTTTCGAACTTCTTCCTTTTCCTCCTCCGCCTCCTCCGGCCGCCAAACAATCCCTCTCCGGTCTTACCTTCTCCATCTCCGACGCGTATGTCCCTCTCTCCCAATTTCTTCGCTTTTTTTCTGTCATCGGTTTTCCTTTTCTAAAAAACAAAATACTTGATCTTCCTCTCGCGCGTTTTTGCTTTTCTTCTTTATATTACGATCTCACTTGAAAGTTTTGAAATTTTGTGGTTTAATTAAATTTTTGACTTTACTTAGACGAAGTCGTGGGCAATTAATGAAGAAGCTTCTTTTGGGGATATGGCTGTTTTTTTAACAGGTTCGATGTTAAGAATTATATCACAGGATTTGGTAGTCCACAATGGAAGAAGACTCACGAGGCTGCAGAGAAAACTGCTGTGGTTGTGACAACGCTCTTGAAAAATGGAGCTACTTGTGTTGCCAAGACGATCATGGATGAGCTGGGTTTTGGGTATTTCTCCATTCCCTTCTTTCTGCCCATGAAATGGGTTTTCGGAAATTGGTTTGAAATTAATTTGAATGTGATTTTTACAGGATAACTGGTGAAAACAAGCATTATGGCACTCCCATTAATCCATTGATGCCATCTAATGTTCCTGGAGGCTGTTCCAGTGGCTCAGCAGTTTCTGTTGGTGCCGAACTCGTTGACTTTTCACTTGGTATTGTTAATCTCTTCTTTGTTTTCTCTTGGCAATGTGCTTTTTTTGTCTACTTATGTTTACCAATGTGCTTTGATTTGCAGGGATTGATACCACTGGCGGTGTAAGAATCCCAGCATCATTCTGTGGTGTTCTCGGCTTCCGACCATCTCAAGGTACTGTTTCTTCAGTTGGAGTTTTGCCCAATTCCCAGAGCCTAGAGACTGTTGGTAAGCGACATTCTTTTTCGCCTTTCTTTGAACAATCTTTGGCAAAGTATTACATTCATCGATTGGGAGTTTTTAGTGTATTTATTCTTTTGATCTATTCTGTAGGATGGTTTGCTCGTGACCCATCTGTTTTATGTCAAGTTGGACATGCCTTATTAAATCTGAGTGCAGTAACACATAAAAGGCAAAGATCTTTTATCTTCGCTGATGATCTGTTCGAGCTCTCTGATATTCCTAAGCAAAAGTCAGTGCATGTTGTCAGAAAGGCAATCGAAAATCTATCTGGCTGTAAGTTTGCTTTAGTGTTGCTTCCTTCTCTTTGCCCTCCTCTAGATTCGTATCTTATGTCTCTTGACCACTGGCTCGTGCAGACCAAACTCCAAAACATATTAACGTCAGTCAACATGTTGCTTCAAATGTACCAAGTCTTGCGGAATTCTGTGAGCAATCTGGAAAATCGAAAAAATCATCATCAACATTGAGGGCTCTTTCATCTGTGATGTTATCAATACAAAGGTACTTAAGAAGCTTTCTCTTATTGTGAAGTCACTATATTTTTATCTTGAATTTTTCATCACATCAATTCGTCTGGTACAATAAAAGATTGCTTTTTTCTTCTCTTTTTGCTGGAGGTAACTAGTTTTCTTCTTAAATTGTGTTCTATGCATTTATGGTAAAAATCAAGTTTTTCTTTCAACCAGGCATGAGTTCAAAACAAATCATGAAGAATGGTCGCAAACATGCAAATCGTTTCTAGGGCCAAGATTCTCCAATGATGTTGTTGCAGCTCTGAAGAGCAGAAACGACAGCATTAAATCTCTCTACAGAGTGAAAACTGAGATGCGGGCCACCATTCAGAGCCTTCTAAAGGTATTCTTCCATCTTGGAAATTTTAATTTTTTCTAATGCCGCAACATCGGTGTCTTGGGGACATTTTGCCATTGAAATACAGAAAATTGGAGATGTTGCATTGTTAAGGCTCATTTTTGGGGGGAGGGATTCTACTCTGCTTTGTAGTTCTATAATATTATGATAAAAATATATACGCTATCTGATTACTAGGAAGATGGAATTTTGGTGATCCCCACAGTTGCTGATCCCCCGCCAAAGCTTAACACAAAGAAGAACTTTTTGAATGAGTTTCTTGATCGAAATTACGCACTCTCAAGCATTGCTAGCATGTCTGGGTGTTGTCAGGTATATTTCCAGTTCCTCTTTCTCATTTTGAGTTCCCCTTTTGTTACTCTTGAGGCTTGAGTAATAACACAGATCTGTATACATATCCTACAGGTTACGATTCCTTTAGGGATGCATGGTGACTGCCCAATATCCGTTTCGTTTCTTACTTGCTATGGAGGTGATAAGTTCCTTCTCGATACAATTATCGATGTATACGCATCCCTTCAGGACCAAGCTGATATTGCATCCAGCTTAGCTCCAGTGACTGAGTCCGATGGTATGGAGGTTTCTGAAGTTATGAAGGAAAAGGTAAAAGTCTCTTTTGTGCTATCTTCTGAACAAGAAAAACAAATCTTTTCTTGGCTTTTCTGAATTTGAAAAATAGTATTTATGATTCTGGAGTTGGAATGATCTTTTTCTAAAGAAAGTTGCGGTGGATAAATGTAATTCCAGGGAAATGCTGCATACAAGGGGCGGCAATGGAATAAGGCAGTGAGTTTTTATACTGAAGCTATCAAATTGAATGGAGCAAATGCTACTTATTTTTGCAATAGAGCTGCAGCTTACTTGGAACTTGGCCGGTAAATGGTTCTCTTCATATCTTTCATTCTGATCGGAAGATAGTTTGTTATTCCCATCTGATCTGAGAGTTTGTTTATAGCTTTCAACAAGCTGAAGAAGATTGTACCGAGGCTGTATCGATCGATAAGAAGGTGCAAACTTATTATTTCTCCATATTCCATTCTATTGCATAATTTCTTTTGTTACATTCAGTTTAGCTGAATCAAATACTCTTCAATTTTCTTTTGGGGGATTTGGGGACATGATATATGTGAAATCTAGAGCAATTCTAATAGCACGAATGATTCACAAATGTATTGCAATTATGCTATCTTCTAGCTGTTGGATTCAGTTTCGTTACCACTCACTCACGAAAGACACAGCCACGTATGATTCATAGAATTCAAAGAAGTTGGGATATTGATTCTTATAGTTATTGTTTCCTACAGAATGTAAAAGCATATTTGAGACGAGGGACTGCTAGAGAATCACTTATACGGTACAAGGAAGCTGCTGCAGGTAACTAAACCTAACTCCGACTAGATTTTATTTTCCTTATCACATTTGGGAGACTTGTTCTTTGATCAGTACCGCTTTTTAAGGCTCTGAATGTTAAATGCATCTAGCTAATCTAGATGGTCAATTACAGAGACATTTAACCTGATTATTGTCAGTTCTTATATGAAAGTTACTCTTTGTGTATGGTTTTGGAGCGTAACAAATGGTTTAATATCTCTGCAGATTTCAGGCACGCATTGGTCCTTGAACCACAGAACAAGACGGCAAAGAATGCTGAGAAGCGACTCCGAAAACTCATGAGTTAGAAAGAGCAAAAGATAATTTTTCACCAAGCTTTTCTTTTTTTTCTCTAAAACCCTAAAAGGAAAGGTTTTGAGTATTGGGTTCATGATTGAATCATTGAAACTCCAACATATGAATAATTTTGTGGTTTATTTAATTCCGGTTACTTCTGTACAGATTGGAACTGAACCTTGGTTCCTCTAAATTACTTGATCGGATGTCTGGGTTTTTTTGGCTTTATTTGTTTCCACTGCGGTACTTTAACAATTACAAACTCCCACAAGTCCTTCACTGTAATTTCGTAAATTATATGAACGGACCATAAGTCACGTTTATTATGGATTCTCCACAAGTAACTGAAACCAGCGCTTTTTTTTATTCTCTTCCGTTTCATCGTCGTCACGCCTTTTCACCTCCTCCTCTCTGTTTCATTTTCGAAAATTATTGTTTCAGATAAAAAAAAAAAATTATATTATCCAAGAATGTTTGATCATCTGAAATTGTTGCGATGCTTCAGCTTCACGGCGTCGCGTGATTGGTTATTCCGGCAATCATTCGCAAACGCCGGTCTACGTTCCGTCACCACCGATCTCTCCCACGGCAATTCGATTGCGTCGACGGCTATGCATTGTTGGATCCC